TGCCACAAACTGGGTTTGTGCTCAAAGTGTGGTCAAAAGTTAAGCACTTAAGTGGGGGGGGACATGAGTGACTGGCAACTTCAGGGGAGTAAGCTGCAGTAGCCACTAGGAATTTGGAACTGGGATTTTGGTGCCTTTCCTTTGTTCAGAGACTCTCTAAGCAGGTGGGGTTGGGAGAGAGAGGGGGGGCGGGGAATGGGGCTTCCCAGACTACGCAGAGCCTAGCAGGAGGCTCCAACTGAATAACATCCTGACTGATAAAAGAATTCTGGACATATCACCATTCTGGATTTCAAGTTATACTACAGAGCTGTAGTAATAAAAACAGCATGGTATTGACAAAAGACAGACACATTGATCAATGGAATCAAACTGAAGACCCAGACATAAATCCACATACCTGTGGACTGTTGTAAAGTGTTATTTTAAGATAGGTTACATTTTTTGTACTGAACATTTATTTAATGATGCAAAGATGTGCTGCATTCTTTTATGCTGCATTTGTTTAACTCTGTGAAGCTGGTGGTGCTTTGCCTGTCTAAACCACCTGACTGGACTAATGAAGAGCTGAATGCCAACAGCAAGACAAGAGAAAGGATAGGCGGGGGTGGAGGGTGGGAGCAGGCAGAGAAATAAATACGAGGAGAGATCTGGGAGGAGAAGGTCAGGGAGCAATGTGGTGAGATCCTGCTTTTACAAATGAAGCCTGTCTGAAGGTCAGAAAATGGAGCTTGCCACTAGCTAACCATAGAGGTCCGAAAGTCTGAACAGACAGAGAGGAAATGCGATTGCTGGGTGGAAACAGAATATAAGCAGGGAGAAACAGGAACTCGCTCACTTGTCTGCTGAGATGCTAAGGAGGTAAGGTGTGCGTGGCTTGCTCCTTCTCTCTGATCTCTCAGCATTTCCCTCTATATCTGACTCCGAGTTTATATTACTTATACCAATTAAGAACTCCATTTATGGCCAGGCATTGGTGGCACAGGCCTTTAATCCCAGCACTTGGGAGGCAGAGGCAGGCGGATCTCTGTGAATTTGAGGCCAGCCTGGTCTACAGAGCAAGTGCTAGGACAGGCTCCAAAGCTACACAGAAAAGCAAAAACAAACAAACAAAGAACTCCATTTGCAGAGCAAGAAGAGAAGGGGCCAGCCACACAGTCACACAGCCACACAGCTAGACAGAACAGAGGAAAGAAAAGATATATAGAAATAGGGAAAGCTAAAAACCCAGAAGCAAATGGTAGATGAGATAATTTAAGTTAAGGAAAGCTGGCAAAAAATAAGCCAAGCTAAGGCCAGGCATTCATAAGTAGTAACAAATCTCCATGTTGGGGGCTAGGTGGTGGCCTCCAAAGAGCAAAGATTGAAAAAAACCAGCAACAGTGGACACCTGATTTGTTGTTTTTAAAGATTTTATTTATGTATGTATTAAGTATACAGTATTCTTCCCGCATGTCTGCCTGCAGGCCAGAAGAGGGCACCAGATCTCATTACAGATGGTTGTGAGCCACCATATGGTTGCTGGGAATTGAACTTGGGACCTCTGGAAGAGCAGCCAGTGCTCTTAACCTCTGAGCCATCTCTCCAGCCACCTACAACTGATTTTTGACAAGTCAGAGATACACACTGGCAACATATTCAAGAAATGGGTCAGTCAAACTGGAGGCTACTTGTAGAAGAATGCAAATAGATCCACACTTATCACCCTGCACAAAATTCAACTCCATATAGATCAAAGACCACAACATAAAGTCAGATACCCTGAATCTGAAGAACAGAAAGCGGGGAAGGGGATAGCTTTGAACTCACTGGCACAGGAGTCTCCCAATACATCTCTTGTGTGGGGTTTGTTGTGCAGAGTTACTGACTTTGTATTTTTCCTTGGTTCCCAATGAAAGACCCTTCAGTCTTCCTCTCAGGACCCTCGCCCCAAAGACCACCAGGGAGCTGAAGTTGGTTGCAAAACGCAAGAGGATTTTTATTAAGCCGGAGTGCCAGGGGTTCAGCAGCCTTGAGAAGGAATGAACCCCGAGCAGAAATTACAGCGAGTTTTTAAAGCCTGAAATCACAAACGGGGTGGCAGGGGTACAAGGGGGAGTTTTGGTAATCGGTGCCAGACCTTCATGCAAACACAGCTGTGCCTGTATGAACTTTGTGACCAGCCTTCTCCTGGAACCTTGAGGTCTGGGAAATGTTTTCAAATCCTTGAGGACTGAGGTCTGAGAAATATTTCTAAGTCCTTGAGGACCACCAGGGGAAGATGTTTATCATTTAAGTGTAGCTGCTCACGTCCAAGGACAGGACAGCACAACTTAGTAATTTTCCAACTGTTAGGGGGGCCTAACTTTTGGGGCTCTTCACCAACAGCAAGGATACTTTTCTCTTCAGAGCTGTAACACTTGCACTAGAAAAACCCTTTTCCTCAGCAGAGCTGCAACACCTCCATTGGGGAAGCCTTTTCCCTCAGAGCTGTAACACGCATACTCATGAGGCACAGACAGGAAGATCTCTGACTTCAAGGTAGCCTGGTCTACAAAACAGATCTGGTTGCATATACTTAAATTAGGCTGTTAGGGTAGCGTTGACTCTTCCAAAATTTGTAAGTTAAATCCCAACATTTTAGTTGGCTACACAGCTGCTCAAATAATCTACATTTTCTAGCTCTTGTGCCCAAGTTCCAAAGATGCTCAGAGACCACCAAAGAGACAGAGCTGTAAAGAGAAGCTTTTTCCTTGCTAGCCGCTTTGGTTTATCCCCCGCCAGCCGCCTAGGCTCTGCCTCATTGCAGTCCCCAAATAAACACACAAGACGCTGTATTAATTATGAAGCTGTTGGCCTTGCTTGTCTCTTACTGGCTAGCTCTGCTTTAAGTAATTACCCCATAATTGTTCATCTAAGTATGTCTCTTACCGGAGAATAGTTCCGGGCTCCTACCCCATGGCGTTATATGTTGACTCTCTTGTGTTTCTCCTTCCCAGAGTCCTCCTGGACTCCTAGTCCCTCCTATCTAGATTCCCTATTGGCCAGACAGTGCTTTATTGACAAAGGACTTCCCCAATACAGAACTGTGTTCAGTTTTGGCCCTAGCCTCTGAGAGGCCAGCTGGATCTGGAGTTTCCTTGTGCCAGAGGCCTATGTGTCTTTTCTGTAGTCTGTCATGGCTGCTAAAGCAGGGGGCTGAGTGAGGGTCTGGTTCCTTCACTAGCCACTTCTTAATTCTAGTCTATGGGATATCAAGGGTTCTGAATAATGCCCTTAAGTACACAAAAACACAAGTACATGCACACACACACACACACACACACACACACAGAGAGGAAAGTGATCAAATTTTGTCAGGGAAGTACAAACCAAGACCACAATGATATATCACCTCACATATGGTAGAAATGGATTTTACCAAAAAGTCCCTAGGAGGATAAGGTCAATAGTGAAAAAATTAAATCAATATGTCAAATAGATGTTTGGTTGCATGAGAGAACCAAGGAAAGAAAAGCAAGAGAAGGAGAGGAGGGTACCAGGGGCCGGCCACCCAGCCCGCCAGCTTACAGCAATCCGAGGAGTAAGAGTAAGATTTACAGAAGTAAGGAAACAGGAAAAGCTCAGAGGCAAAGGTAGATGGGATAATTTAAGCTGACTAGAAACGAGCTAAGCTAAGGCCAGACATTCATAACTAAGAATAAGCTTCCGTGTGCAAGTTATTTGGGAGATAGGTGCCGACTCCCCAAAAAGCTAAAAGAATAAAAACATCGCTCAGAAGTCCTACTCCCAAGACAATAGAAATATCAAAGTGATGAGGAAAACGCTACCAACACTATTCAAGTAACATCGCATGTTTATTGCTATGTGAAGCAACAGAGTGATATTACATGGGGGCTCCAAAAGTTAAGTTCCCTTCTCTTTAATCTATGCTTACAAACAGGTTTATTAGTGGACAGACACCGCTTTGAATCTTGTCAAAACCAGCGAGTGACAGTCAACATAAACTCACATTCTGACCTCCAATCCACTTCCTTCGGTGCTCTAAGACTGACAGCCTTCCAACTTAACGCTGATGTCATTTCCACAATATATCCACGTTACCAGCTTTCCAGTTTACAGTTTGTTTCTGCCAGTCAACGCCCTACCAGATCGTATAATTTCTTTTTTGTTTTACCTAAGCAGCTTATACCAAAATGACCGACACGGAAATATTTACTCCATTCTTTTAATTCCAGCTCCCTTTAAACCCCACACATCCCTCTTGTGCGCTCCGTTGGTGCCCTAAGAGCAAGCGCTGAGGACACAGTTGCTAAGAGACAGGACGCTGAGAGGGTGGGGACGCTGCAATGCGACAGGCCTGAGTGAAAAGCCAGAGGGGCAGGGTGAGGAGCAGGCTAGGCGAAGAGGTGAGCCGAGCTCCGGACCGCACCCTCCCGCCCGCAGGAGCTCGTCTCTCATTGGCTCCTCCGCTGCGGCGCTAGCCTGCGATTGGCCTGACAAATGGCGCCCCGCCCCCGACACGCGTGCCGGGCGGCTCGCTAGCGGGCGCGGGCGGGGTGCGGCAGCGGCGCTTGAGGCGGCCTCAGCCGGGCTTCGGTGCCGATTGCGCCGTTCCGGGCACGAGCGCGGGCGGTGCCGGCCGCTGCAGGTGACTCGGGCGGTGAAGGCCGCCGCAGCGCTGAGGAGGTGAGCGCGATGCCGAGAGGCTGGGGCACCCAGGCCGGAGCTGGAGGTGGGGCGAGGGCCGGGAGCAGCGCTGCCCCATCCCGGGCGGCGGGCGGGCGGCGGGCGGGCGGCGGGCGGGCGGGCCGTGCGTGGCTCCGCTGCCCGGAAGCCCTCGGGCGCAGCTCTCTGCCTTGTCCCGCCGCCGCCAGGCAGCCGGTCCCGTCCGCGCGCCTGGCGACTGAGCCCAGCTTCGGCCGCCGGACTCCGGCCCTGCGTCGCCGCCTGGCTCCTGTTCGACGCCTTTGTCTGCCCCTCTCCAGCCCGCGCCCGACTCGGCGCCCACGCCGCGGAACCCGGGCCCCGGAGGTCGCGCCGCGCAGGGAGCCTCGGTCCCGGGGTCGGCAGGACTGCAACCCCGGGTGGGAAGCGATGCTGCGTCCTTGAGAAGCAGAGCCAACCGCCTCGGGTCTCACTTCTGGACCAGGGTCAGAAAATCTGTTCTTTTAGTTTGGGATGAGTCAATGTTAGCAGAACAGCCTCTCTCTGTTGTCCCAGAGGCCTTCCACCTGTCCCAGTGTCCCCCTTCCTTCTGCCCAGGGGAAAAAAAACCAAGAGCCCCTTTTTCATTGGAACATGAAAAAGAGATGCTTGTCATGGACAGAGAAAGTGACTTAAGATTGCCATGTTTATGCATGTGAATAAGCCAAAATAGGGAAATAAGTTTTGCTCTTTAAAAGTATGTGTTAAACAATAGAATTTTTAATTTGGGTAAATAATTCCCTATGCCTTAAACAGTTTTAGCATATGGCTAGAGGACAATTTTAAGCTTCAGATTTTTCTTTTGGTCGTAGTTTTTTCATGTTTATACCCTTTCCAGAATGAGATGCTCACCCCAGCTGTTCTGAGACACCATATGCTTTACTACAGATTACTCGTCAATGCTTTACCTTTCATACTTACATTCAGACCCTAAAGCAAACTTTCCCACAGAGTCATCCAACTAGAATTCAGAATAGTTTTCTCCTTGAAAGATTCAGTTGCGTAAACAGAATCACACCTAAGTTACTTAAATCAGCTTGAAAATCACATTTGAAATACACACATTTTTAAGAACTTGATGGAGACAATGTTATTGAAATTTTAATTAAGGACTGGGGATTTAGCTCAGTGGTAGAATACACTGCCCGCATCCCCACCACCAAAAACAGAAATTTTAATTAAAATTTAAACCAAAGAACAGCATGCAAGGGGTTTTTGTCGTGAATTCTGCTTTAGACTGTTTTCTTTCTTTCTTTTTCTTTTTTTCCTAAGTGCTGGGCATCAAACTCAGGGTCTCACACATTAGGCAAGAACTCATCTACATTCCTAGATCCTAAATGTCTGCAAAAAGGGATGCTGGGGTGGAGAGATGACCCAAAGGTTGAGAGCACTGACTGCTCTTCCAGAGGTCCTGAGTGCAGTTCCCAGCACCCACATGGTGGCTCACAATCATCTGCAATGAGATTTGGTGCCCTCTTCTGGCCTGCAGGAATACCTGTTGTACACATAACAAATCTTAAAAATAAAAGGGATGCATATATTACTCATGTAAGCAGAGAACTGAAAATTAAGATTGCCACATTTATTTTTGTACAGTATAGACATTTATATATTCTCATAGACCGTGGATCTTCAACTTGGAGTGGGTTCCAAAGGATATGTTAAGTTTCTTTAAAGTTTTGTGACTTTACTAACTCACAAACATTTTTAGCAGTATCTGCTTTGCTGGTCTTTCTGAGGACTCAAAGATAAAAGGCCCTGCCTAAGAGCTGGGTGTGTCAGTATACACCTGTAACCCCTATGCTCTGGCGGCTGAGGCAGGAGGATGGAGAGGTAGAAGCTAGCCAGGACTACGAAGCAAGGTAAATGGGAAATTCTGTCCTGGGCAATGCTTTCTGAGTGATTTAACTAGTTCTTGAAAAAAAATTTAAGTCAATAATGGAAAAGTATAATAAGGATAAATAGTGGTTGTGATAAATTGTGGTGCACATTCTGCTCCCAGACATGGTGATGGTGCTTTCATGGTATTATTTAATTCTCGCAATTATCTTAAAGGTTGGTGTTATTTTCCTTATAGCTAAAACACTTGAGGCCCCAGGTTGCACTGCTAGAAAAGGTAAAGCTGGGTAAGTGTCCATAGCCCATTTTATTCCTTTTACTGGCAGCATGCTTCATTTTATGGCTTGTTAATCTTTATGAATCTGTTTAACCCAAGGATCTCAGAAATGCTAGCGCTACTGCTACAAGCTTCCAGTCCTCACACCGTACCAGTCCCCGTCTAAAGCAGCCTGGAAACACAGACGCTTCCTACCATTTTAACCCTTGTTTTGCAGATGAGAGAACTGAGACACAAATTATTTGGATTAGACAATGTCTTCATGGTAGGACCAGGCGCCACAGCTGGACTGTCTCACCTCAGAGTTACAGTCTGTACTTGTAACTACTACACTGTACAGATCCCTCAGTAAGGTACATCTCTGGAAGCCATGCTTTTAGTGTGCAAAATGTCTTTGTGGTTTTTCATATTTTGATTTGTTTTTACTTTCTGTGTGTTTGCTTGCATGTATGTGTTCATCGGATACATGCCTAGCTCCCCTGAAGGCCAGAAGAGGGCGTTAAAGCCCCTGTAACTTGGAGTTATGGACAGTCATAAGAAACCACCTAGGTGCTGGGAACCAAACCCAGGTCTTGCTCAATAACAGCGAGTACTTCTGAGCCATCTCTCAAGCCCCTGTTGCCTTTTAATGCTTATGGAAACACATAGGATTGTTATTTTGTTCTCCTGACTGTCATCGTAAAGCTTTTAGTCTAATTTTAGTGCTGCAGGTCAACATGTTTAGGTGGCTTATCTTGACTGGCATGTTGTGATGCCAGAGCTCAAATCAGACCTTCAGGCTCTGGGCACGCTGCTCTTGATCTGTCAGTGATCTCTACATTGTGCCATATTTTTTTCTGGAGAGAAGCTTATACTTTCAAGTGCCAATCCCAACCTAGAAACCAATAACAGTTAAACTATAAACATGACTAGCCATAAACCTTCACCACTTTTTTTCTATAATGTTGTATTCGAACTTCAGCCAAAGTGCCTGACACATAATAGAATATTTGTAAATGCTTGGATAAAATAGTGTGTCTTAAATCAACTGACATAAAGAGCTTCCTAAAGTATTTTGGATAGGTAATTTCTGTTTCTTTTCTTTCTTTTTGTAATATCCCCGGCCTACCTCAGGAGCCAAAGCATCCCTGCTTGTCTCTTTGAAACATAACTGGCTTTACAGTCTATTAGTCTGTGCCCTTTCCATCTTAAACCATTACCTCCAGCTCACTACTCTCCACACCATACTCTCATATAGAATGGAAAGAACTATCTTATTAGGTCGATGGCATTGTATAAATTACTTAGCTCCTTCGAGTCTGTTTCCTTACATTTAAAATTAGGAAGAGTTATTACAGACTCTCTGCCTCTCCAGGGTGTGACTCCATTTTGGCTCTTGGCCAAAATAATGTTACTATGATGTTACATTATCAGTTTTTCTGCCTGTATCCATTGCCAGGTTTCACATTGTTTCAAAATAGAATGGCTGAAAAGAACTTTCTAAAGAGAAGTTGTTTCAAACACACAAAAGTAACACTACTTAATAGTTATTGATAGGATTATAGTAACCACAGGCCCATTAACTGCTCTGCTAAGTAGCCAGGCTAAGTTTCTTCTTACTATGTCTATACAAGTTTAGTATGTTCAGCCATCATTATCTGTACCATGAACATTCGCTACGGGGAAAGTAGGAGGGAGGTTATTTAAGAATGAAATTGTAATCTTTTTAGCAAGCTATATGTTTCAGTTTCTCCACGGTTTGATTAAATTATCTATGAATACTTAGTGAGTTTTAAGGAAAATAAATTAAACTCAACTTTTCCTGGACATTTTATTTGGAGAAAATTTTTAACATATAGCAGAGTCAGAAAGAATTTTGTAATAAACACCCAAACACCTGCCACCTGGAGTCTGTCATTAAGATTCTACCTTTTTATTGCATATTTAGTCCATCTGTCCATCCTCATATGGGCTCATCTTTCAGGTCATGGTATCATAAAGCCCTTGTGTTTGAAGAGATTTTGGATGGACATTCTTTGTTTTAGGTCAGTTTTATTTTTTCTTTATATAATGACAGGTCGTTTTTAGGAATGGATTGTAACTAGTATACAATGTTCTGGAAACATCTGAATTTCAGGTGTAAATAAGACTGTTTTCCCTATTTCTAGCTCCAAAAGATGAGTCGTGGGTATCCAGAAAACAATAATTTCCTGAATAATAATAACCAAATGGTACTAGATATGATACTTTATCCCTTAATTGGAATTCCTCAGACCTTCAACTGGGAAACTGTGGCAAGGCTTGTGCCTGGTTTAACACCCAAAGAGGTAAGTAACAATCCCCCAGATACCTCCTAAAAAATAAAAATGACAACAGCAACACTAAGAACAGAACCCCCAAGATGTGAGATTGAAAGAAACGCCTAAGTGAAAAAATTTTTTACATTTTTTGTATTTCTTTTTATATCTATTTTATGTGTATGAGTGTTTTGTCTGCATGTGTGTCTGTGCACCCACATTTATATAGTGCCCAAGGAGACCAGAAGAGGGCGTCAGATCCTCTGGAAATTAAGTTTAATCTCAGCCTTCTGGAGACGGAGGCAGATGAATTTCTTAGTTCAAGGTCAGCCTAGTCTACAGAGCGAGTTCTAGGACAGCCAGGGCTACACAGAGAAATGCTGTCTAAATAAATAAATAATAGTATTTTTAAAAATGCCCATCACGAAGGGAAAAAAGACTAAAATAGAGGGAAAAGTGTGTTAGTGCTAAGAAAAGTGCCAGAGAGGCAGACATAGGCTGACCTCAAACTCTTGTCCACCTGCCTCTGCCTCCCATGTGCCTGAATTAAAGGCATGTGCCATCACCATCCAGTGGTTTTGTTTTGGGTTTTTTTTTTAATGTGAAATTTTTCAACATAACCCAGGCTGGAGTATCTTCTGCCTTAACCTTCAAAAATGTTGGGATTATAAGAGTGTGCCACCACCATATCTGGAACTACTATGTAACCCAGGCTGTCCTGGAACTCATAAAGATGCTCCTGCCTCAGTCTCTAGACTCCTGGGATTATAGTATCTAATAATTTCATTGGTGGTTTCATTTCGACTTCCTTACTTTTCAGAGTTGGGTTTTCTTTCCTGAGTTTAGGACTATATTTATTTTACAAATAAAAATCATGGTAAAACACTCCATCTTTTCAATCCTGACACAGACAAAAAAAAAACTCCAGAAATATTTGTTTAAAAAATGGTTATGTATATGAGATGAAGCAGAAGAAATTCAAATATAAACTCAAAACTTATTAAGAAAAGTCATAGTTATCATTTATCTCCTTTAAAAGTATATATGAATATCAAGTCAAGCACAGCAGGGTACATGTCTTAAAATGTTACCTGTATGTGTTTGACTGTAAATAGACCACAGACCCAGTCTTGGAATGCACTCAGGACGCTCTGCCATCAAATGGATGACAGTGAAAACATTTCTTTCAAATAGAAGAGAATGATACAAGGACATAATTAAAAAACAAAGATTGGAACTTACCTTCTTTATAGCCTGTCCCCCTGCCTTCTCTGTGACCTCTGCTGTGACTGGGACACCACCTTCACTGCTAGATTTGGCCTAGTCTGAGATCATTTTATTTCCATCATTTATTTTGCTTCCTTCTGTGGCTCCCTTGGCAGCTTTGGCATCTTCTTCATAGGTGGAGCATTTCTCTAAGATGTGTGAGATCCTGGGCCAGTCTTTAGGTAAAATGACAACAGCCTGAGATAGGCTTGGAAGAGATGGAGAAAGAAAAGTAAAATGTCATGTCACAAATCCGATCCTCCTGAAGAAACTAGGTTTCATTAGGATTAGGGATATTACTTAGTGACTTGCCTCTTATTATCAGACCTTGGTTTAAATTCTGAATCCTAAATTGGGTGAAATCTGTTCATATCACTCAGAACAGGCCTAGTCTCATTTGATCTCCAGAGCTAAGCATGATCAGGCCTGGTTAATACTTAAATGATGACAGACTTAGATATTCCCAGTAGAAATACAGTTAATACAAAAATACAAGCCAGGTGTTTTACTTGCTAATATTGTCAGCTGATAACAGATACATACCAAAGAGAAATATGGGTATTAAAAGTAGTCTTTTCTCTTCAAGATCATATAAATATGGTTCCTTTGGGTTAAGCAGTTTTAATTTTTTTCTTTTTTCCAGACAGGGTTTGTCTGTGTAGCTTTGGAGCCTATTCTGGCATTCGCTCTGTAGGCCAGACTGGCCTCCAACTCACTGAGATCCACCTGCCTCTGCCTCCTGAGTGCTGGGATTAAAGGTGTGCTCCACCAACGCCCCGCCAGTTTTAATTTTTTTTATTGAAATATTTTATGTCTATGAATGTTTTGTCTGCATGTTGTATACACCATTTACCTGGTGCCCTTTGGAGGTTCTTGAACTGGAATTAACAGATGATTGTGAGCTGCTGTGTGTATCATGGGAATTGAACCTGGGATCTTTGAAAGAGATAATGCTCTTAACCACTGAGCTATTTCTTCAGTTACAGCACTCATACAGAGGCTTGTAACCACCTCTAACCCCACTGCTGGGGCATCCAGCACCCTCTCCTGGCTTCTGTGGGCAAAAGGCACTCACATGGTATACATATATACATGCATGGAAAACACTTATACTCATTAAATAAGGTAAATAAATCTAAGATCATTTTAAAATACATTATCTTTAACTAGAAGAGAAGAAAATATTTTCCCATTAATCTTTTTCACTTTGTGTTATACATAGTTATATAACCTTAATGATTGAAGTTGATAATTCAGAACTATTAATAAATATATCTTCTCTACTACAAGTTAGATAATTCAATAATATTTCATTAAAATCATTGGCTGAAGATTGTAATTCATGATTACTTAATGATTGCTTTTATAATATTACTCAATGATAATATCATGTATTAAGACATTAGCTTATAAAAAATCATTGTGTTTTTTTTCCTTTTTTTAAAATTTAAAGTAGAAACAAGCTTGTTCACATGTCAATCCCAGTTCCCTCTCCCTCCCCTCCTCCCCTGTCTCCCACTATCCCATCTGCTTTCTGCTCCCCAGGGAGGATGAGGCCTTCCATGGGGGATCTTCAAAATGTGTCATATCATTTGTAGCAGGGCCTAGGCCCTTCCCCATTTGTCTATGCTGAGAGAATATCTCTCTATGTGGAGTGGGCTTCCAAAGTCCATTGGTATGCCAGGGATAAATACTGATCCACTACCAGATGACCCATAGATTAACCAGACCTCCAAACTGACATCCTCCTTCAGGGGGTCTGGAACAGTCCTATGCTGGTTTCTCACCTGTCAGTCTGGGGTCCATGAGCAACCTCTTATTTAGGTCAACTGTTTCTGTGAGTTTCTCCAGTCTGGTCTTGACCCCTTTGCTCATCACTCCTCCCTCTCTGCAACTGGATTCCAATGTTCAGCTCAGTGTTTAGATGTGGGTGTCTGCTTCTGCTTCCATCAGCTACTGGATGAAGGCCCTATGATGGCATTTAAGGTAGTCATCAATCTCATTATCCAAGAAGGGCATTTAAGGTAGCCTCTGAACTATTTCTTAGATTATTAGTTGGGGTCAACATTGTACATCTCTGGACATTTCCCTAGTGCCTGGATTGTGGTATCTCTTTTCTTGCTCTCCTCTATTCTTCCCCTGATTCGAACGTCCTGCTCTCTCCCTGTCCTCCTCTCCCCTGCTCTTTCTTCAAACTACTTTTCCCCGCCCCCCCCCATTTGCTCAGGAGATCTTGTCCCTTCTCCAGGGGACAATGTATGTCTGTCTCTCTTAGAGTCCTTCTTATTTCCTAGTTTCTCTGGCTGTGTGAATTGTAGGCTGGTAATCCTTTGCTCTATGTCTAAAATCCATATATGAGTGAGTACATACCATGTTTGTCTTTTTGTGACTGGGTTACCTCACTCAGGATGGTTTCTTCTAGTTCCATCCATTTGCCTGCAAATTTCAAGATTCCACTGTCCCACGCTCCCAAGTAGTACTCCATTGTGTAAATGTACCACATTTTCTCTATCCACTGTTCAGTTGAGGGGCATCTAGGTTGCTTCCAGATTCTGGCTATTACAAATAATGCTGCTATGAACATAGTTGAACAGCTGTCCTTGTTGTATGAATGTGCACCTTTTGGGTATATGCCTAACAGTGGAGTTGCTGGATCTTGTGGTAGACTGATTCCCATTTTCCTACCATACTGATTTCCAAAGTGGCTGTACAAATTTGCACTCCCACCAGCAATGAGGGAGTATTCCCCTTTCTCCACATCCTCTCCAGCATAAATTGTCATTGGTGTTTTTGATTTTAGCCATTCTGATGGGAGTGAGATGGTATCTCATCTCAGAGTTGTTTTGATTTGCATTTCCCTGATGACTATGTGTCTCTCAGCCATTTTAGACTCCTCTATTGAGAATTCTCTATTTAGTTCTGTACCCCACTTTTTCATTGGATTATTTGGTGTTTTGGTGACTAGCTTCTTGAGTTCTTTGTGTATTTTGGAAATCAGCCCTCTGTCAGATGTGGAGCTGGTGAATATCTTTTCCCATTCTGCGGACTGCTGTTTTGTCTTGTTGACTGTGTCCTTTGCCTTACAGAAGCTTTTCAGTTTCAAGAGGTCCCATTTATTAATTGTCAATCTTAATGTCTATGCTACTGGTGTTATGTTCTGGAAGCAGTCTCCTGTACCAATTATTTCAAGGGTACCACTTACCTTCTGTTCTAAGAGATTCAGTGTGGCAGGATTTATGTTAAGGTCATTGATCCATTTGGACTTTAATTTTGTGCATGGTGATAGACCTGGATCTATCTGCAGTCTTCTACCTGCCAGCATCCAGTTATGCCAGCACTATTTTTTGAAGATGCTTTCTTTTTCCATTGTATAATTTTAGCTTCTTTGTCAAAAAATCAGGTGTTTGTAGGTGTGCGGGTTAATATCAGGGTTATCAGTTCGATTCCATTGGTCTACCTGTCTATTTTTGTGGTAATACCAAGCTGTTTTCAGGACTAAAATAGAGCTTGAAATCAAGAAGGGTAATGCCTCTGGAAAGTTCCTTTATTGTAGAGGATTGTTTTGGTTATCCTGGGTCTTTTGTTCTTCCATATAAAGTTGATTTTTGTTCTTTCATGGTATGTGAAGAATTGTGCTGGGATTTTGATAGGGGATTGCATTGGATCTGTAGATTGGTTTTGGCAAGATTCCCATTTTTACTATATTGATCCTACTTATCCAAGAGCATGGAGATCTTTTCCTTTTCTGGTATCTTCTTTAATTTCTTTCTTTAAAGACTCAAAGTTCAGCTGGGCATTGGTGGCACATGCCTTTAATCCCAGCACTTGGGAGGCAGAGGCAGGGAGGCGGATCTCTGTGAGTTTGAGGTCAGCCTGGTCTACAAACCAAGTCCAGGACAACCTCCAAAACAATACAGAGAAACCCTGTCTCAAAAAAACAAAAACAGGAAAACACCTCAAAGTTCTTATACAGGTCTTTCACTTGTTTGGTTAATGTTACTCCAAGGTATTTTATGTTGTTTGTGGCAATTATAAAGGGTGATGTTTCTCTGACTTCTTTCTCATTCTTTTTATCATCTGTATATAGTAGGGCTACTAAAGTTTTTGAGTTAATCTTGTATCCTGCCACTTTGCTGAAGGTGTTTATCCGCTGTAGGAGTTCCCTGGTAGAGTTTTTCGGGTCACTAATGTAAACTATCATATCATCTGGAAATAGTGAAAGTTTGACTTCTTCTTTTCCAATTTGTATCCCCTTGATCTCCTTTTGTTGTCTTATTGCTCTAGCTAGAACTTCAGGTGCAATATTGAAGAGGTATGGAGTGGACAACCTTGTCTTGTTCCTAATTTTAGAGGAATCGCGTTGAGTTTCTCTCCATTTAGTTTGATGTTGGCTGTTGGTTTGCTGTATATAGCTTTTATGATGTTTAGGTATGTTTCTGTTACCCCTGATCTCTCCAAGACCTTTATCATGAAGGGGTGTTGAATTTTTTCAAAGGCTTTTTCAGCATCTAGTGAGATGATCATGTGATTTTTTTTTGATCATGTGATTTTTGTTTCTCAGCTTGTTTATATGGTGATTACATTGATGGATTTTCATATGTTGAACCATCCCTGCCTTCCTGGGATGAAGCCTACTTGATAATGGTGGATGAGTTTTCTGATGTATTCTTGAAATCGATTTGCCAATATTTTATTGAGTATTTTTGCATCAATGTTCATGAGGGATATTGGTCTGAAGTTCTCTTTCTTAGTTGTGTCTTTATGTGGCTTGGGTATCAAGGTTATTGAAGCCTCATAAAAAGTTTGGTAATGACCCTTGTGCTTCTATTACATGGAATACTTTGAGGAGAATTGGTACTAGCTGTTTTTTGAATTTCTGGTAGAATTCTGCACTGTAACCATCTGGCCCTGGGCTTTTTTTTTTTGGTTGAGAGACTATTGATGACTGCTTCTATTTCATTAGGAGTTATACGTCTATTTAAATTGCTTATCTGTTCTTGATTTAATTTTGGTAAGTGATATCTATCCAGAAAATTGTCCTATTCCTTTAGGTTTTTGAATTTTGAGAAGTACAGGTTTTCAAAGTATGACCTGATGATTCTCTGGATTTCCTCATTGTCCATTATTATGTCCCCCTTTTCATTTCTGATTTTATTAATTTGCATGTTCATACTCTGCCATTTAGAAAGTTTGGATAAAGGTTTGTCTAAATTGTTGATTTTTCATGAAGACCCAACTCTTCGTTGCATTGATTCTTTGTATTGTTTCCTAGTTTATACTTTATTCATTTCAGCCCTCAAGGTTCCATGTGGCACTGAGAAGAAGGTATATTCTTTTGTGTTTGGATGGATTGTTCTATAGATGTCTGTTAATCCCCATTGGGTCATAGCTTCTATTAGTTCCTTTGTTTCTTATGGTCCTGTCTAGTGGTGAGAATGGGGTGTTGAAGTCTCCCACTATAAATGTGTGGGGTTTAATGTGTGATTTGAGTTTTAGTAATGTTTCTTTTATGAACGTAGGTGCCTTTGTGTGTGGGGCATAGATGTTCAGAATTGAGACTTCATCTTGGTGGATTTCTCCTGTGATGAGTATGAAATGACCTCCTTCATCTCTTTTGATTTATTTTAGTTTAAAGTCTAATTTGTTAGATATTAGGATTGCTACCCCCGCTTATTTCTTGGGTCTATTTGATTGGAAAATCTTTTCCCAACCCTTAAGTCTGAGGTAACATCTGTCTTTGAAGCTGAGGTGTGTTTCTTGTATGCAGCAGAAGGATGGATTCTGTCTTTGAATCCATTCTGTTAGCCTGTGTCTTTTTATGGGTGAGTTAAGGCCATTAATATTGAGGGATGTTAATGACCATTGATTATTCATTCCTGTTTGTTTTGGATTTGTTGGTGGTGGTGGAATTGTGTGTGGATTTCCATCCCTTTTTTCTTTTGGCTATTGGTAAAGTGGGATTATGTATTGCCTATGTTTTTCTGGTTGTAGTTACCTTCCTTGGCTTGGAGTTTTCCTTCTAGTACTTTCTGTAGGGCTGGATTAGTGGATATGTATTGTTTAAATCTAGTTTTGTCATGGAATATCTTGTCTTCTCCATCTTTAGTAATTGAAAGCTTTGCTGGGTATAATAGTCTGGACTGGCATCCGTGGTCTCTCAGTGTTGGTAGAATATCTATCCAGGACCTTCTGGCTTTCAGAGTTTCCATGGAGAAGTCAGGTGTAATTCTGATAGGTTTGCCTTTATATGTTACTTGACCTTTTTCCTTAGCTGCTCTTAATATTCTTTCTTTATTCTGTATGTTTGAGGCTTTGATTATTATGTGGCGAGGGAACTTTTTTTGTGGTCCATTCAATTTGGTGTTCTGTAAGCTTCTTGTGCTTTCATTGGCATGTCTTTCTTTAAGTTGGGAAAGTTTTCTTCTATGATTTTGTTGAATATGTTTTCTGCCCCTTCTAGGTGGGTTTCTTCACCTTCGTCTATACCTATTGTTCTTAGGTTTGGTCTTTTCACAATGTCCCATATTTCCTGGATATTTTGTGTATTGATTTGTTGGACTTAAGATTTTCTTTGGTTGATGAATCTATGTCTCCTAGTGTGTCTTCAACACCTGAGATTCTGTCTTCCATCTGTATTCTGTTGGTTATGCTTGCATCTGTAGATCCTGACCAGCTTTTCTGTTTCCAGCATTCCCTCAGAATTTTTTTTTGTCTCTTTAAGCTTCCAACCCTTGCATTGTTTGAATTGTTTCTTGCAAATTTTGCTTTGTCTTTTCCTCCATTTCTTGAATTTTTTGGTTTGTTTTTTCTCCCATTTCTTTAAGGGATTTTCTCATACCCTCTTTGAGGGCCTCTTACCATTTTCATTAAGTTGTTTTGAAGGTCATTCTCTTCTGCTTCATCTGCCTTGGGATGTTCAGTTCTTGCTGGTGTAGAGTCTCTAAACTCTGGCGGTGTCATATTGGGTTTTCTGTTGTTGGGTGTGTTTTTATATTGTCTCCTTCCCATCCCTTCTTTCAGTGGGTCCAGGATGAATCTCTTCCTCTCCTGGTGGGTATGGGACCAAGGTTCCCTTCCAGAGTTTGCAAGCAGGTCCAATACTCTGGTGTCTCTCCTCTTTCCGTGGATGGAGGCAGTTCCAGTACCCGGGCCTTGGCAGTCTCAGGATGGGCTGGACCCTGGGATGGGATCCACAGTGCGCAGTCCCCAGGCCTCAGCTGGCTCCAAGCAGGAAGGTGGGCCTGAAACAGGCTCACACTTACCTAGTCCTGTGGGTGGAGAAAGGAACTAGGATGCTGCCAGTCTCTGGGAGGGTTGGATCCCTTTGGGATAGGATCAGCAGTGTGCAGGCCCCAGGCCTCCGTTATGTGCTTTTTAAACTTTTTTTGGTTAGCACAAGAGGTACCATTCTGGCATTTTCATACAAAGTGATTTTTTTTAATGTAGCCTCCAGTTTTACCATTTTGTATCATTGCAGTGTGCAGAAAGGTTTGAGGAGCTGAAGAGTAGTGGAAGCTCACCTGTTGACAACCAGTACAACCCCTTACTGGCGGCTGGGGCGGGCCCTGTGGAGTCGCTAGCCACTTACATTAAATCTTCGCTTCTGGAAACACAAGGACATTTTCAGGAGGCTCCAGTTGATGAAGATACAGTTTCGAAAGCAGGTAAGCTTGTAAAATGAAATTATAGAACTTATCCTTAGTAAAATTCTACATTTGTACATTCTAGTCAACCTTCCTTTCATTGTTTAAAGGTCAATTCAAATACTTGTGTAAAGAATCTGTTAGTATTTTTATCCTTACGAATGTTTTAAAAATTCTCATTTTCTTTGTTGTGTTTTCAAAAACATTAACTGTAAATATGTAGGTCAAGTAATATTTCTAAAGTAAAGTGTTAATTGCATCAAAATAATTTACTCTAGTTTGTCAACCTAGTTTCTCACATATATCTATTTGCTGTAATTTTGGGTTTTTTGAAAAACGGTGTCGTATAACCCAAGCTAGCCTTGAACTCAGTATGTAGCTGAGAATGAACTTGAACTTCTGAGTTTCCTGAGAGAGGTAATGTGTCACTGTACTGACAGATGGGATGTATCACCACACCCAGCTTATGCAGTCTGGGAATTAATCTTAGTCATGCCAGACAAGCCTTCTACCTGCTGAACTGTATTCCTAGTCTTCATTTACTTACTGTAAAGGAATTTAGCATGGATGTTTTATAGCAAATTTATATTTCATTTTCTCTGCTGTGCTCATCGTTTATTTGTAGATTTTCTAATTAAAGAAAAATACATTTTTGTTCTCCCAAAACTAAATCAAAGTAAAGTTTTACGTCCAGCTGAGCTCTGGCCTATTTTACTTTTTCATGTAGCCTAGGCTAGCCTCAAACTTGTTATGTAGCTGAGAGTGACCTTGAACATATCATCTTCCCAAGTGCTAGGATAAAGTCATGTAAACACCATGCTTGGATACTTTTTAAGTGTTTGTTCATTTATCTATTTATCCATTTATTTATTTTATTTGTTTGTTTGTTTTTTGAGACAGAATCTCTTTGTGTAGCCATAGATGTCCAGAACTTACTATGTAACCAGGCTGGAATAGAACTCACTGAGATCCACCTGCTTCCCAACTGCACGATTATAGGCATATACTACCATGCCAAGCTGCTTTAAAAAAAATAGAGAATCTTGGTCATTTCTTACATAATCTTTTTTTACAGCCATTCTATACTGCAGTTAACAGAAATTCAAGTGGCACAGTGACAAGGTTGAAGAGGTGTTTTCTGGAGTTACATTTGGAAGTCACTGGCTTAGAAGTCCTCAGAATGAGTTTCTTTCATTTCAGCAACAGTCAGAATATTGAAATAGAACTGTACTCCGGGAAGAAGAGACCACTGTGCTTTTGAACACTTGGTGCAGTTTGCAGTGCCACACCCTGCAGCATTAGCAGTCTGTGATTCACTTTTGTACTGCCTTGGAAATACTAATGTGACATTGAGCAGTGCCCCCCCACAAGTACCATCTTTAACTGGCCTTGGAAACCATGTGTTTACATTGTTACCATCCCATAAGTAAAAACCCATTCTCAGCTAGAAATGCTAACCCACCCCCCTTTTTTTGTATGTGTCTGTTTCTGTATTTAAGGAAGACATAGTATAGCTTCTACAAGGAATTGTTCTTCAGAAAGTGAAAATTGTACTACTCGTAATGCTGGAGAAAAGACTGAAGAATCTGAAGGGTAGGAGGCTGGTTGTTTGCTAGATAAGATTTAATATTGATATTACCTTTAACTGTAAAAGTATATGGTTGGTGGTTACAAATATCAGTTAGGAATTTCACATTATACAGTTGCTGAAACATTGGAATCAGATTCATTCATGTGCTGAACAACAAAAAATAGATTAATTCCTAAACATGTTATTTGCTTGTGTTATTAATAAGTTGTGGAAGTTTTTCATTCTTAAAAACTAATTGGCCTATTTTTAAAGTTAGAAATAACATAATTTGGAAAGTAAATTTCAATGCCCAAAGAAAAACCTAAACTAAGTAATTAGTTCTTTAACTTTATTAATGAGATTAGATATATATATTAGAACTATTTAATATAGTTGCTTCACAAAAATTAAAAATCAGAATGTATTTCAGTATGTTTCAGGTTTTAATATTTTGTTTTGTTCTGTGTATTTCCTATATAATAAATTGCATGCATAGTAAATGTTTACTTTGCTTTGGCAACTAGTACATCATGTAACTATCACCTAATGAATATGCAAAACATTTTTGTCATCTATAAAACTTCTTTCCTGCACCTCTGATTTTGGTAGATTGATAATAACAATTTTATTAATACAAAGTTCACATACCACAGGATTCATCTACCTGCTACCTTCCTTCTCTCCCCTCTCCCCTTTTTTCCTTGTATGAAGGATTGAACCTAGGGTATTGTACATGCCAGGGAAGCACTCAGCCACTGAGCTAGTATCAGCAGCCCATTTAAAGTTTATTTTGAGTCAGAGTCCAGCCAGGTTTCCCAGGTAGCTTAACTTGAGCTTTCCCTCTCCATAAGCAAGAGTGCTGTGGTGAGCATGTGCCAGCCACATAAGCAAAACTGGAGGTTAACACCACCATGTGGATCCCAGGGATTAAACTGAGGCCATCAGGCTTGGCACCAAGCGCCCTTTCTATCTTGTTGGTCCAGATTGTTTCTAATACTTCTTCTCATGCCCCAGCTTCATATAAAGCACTTATTTTGTATTTGTATTTTGTAAAATTGAACAAAGCACAGAGTATTTCACATTTGTAGTGCACGGTGTTCCTATTTATTCCCTTTCTGTAATGGCATGAAGACAGTGTATCACACTGTTTTGGTTGTTCGTTTTTTTTATGTATTCTGTTTGTGTATGTGAAGGTGCATGTGTGGAATTGAGAAGATTCTCGCTGTCCTGGAACTTTCCAGGTTGGCTAGGCTGGATGTGGATGAGTCCTAAGGCTCTGCCTTGGTCTCCCCAGCACACTATGCTTCTTAAAACGGGTTCTAGGAATTCAGCTCCATCTATTCTACCAGCTGAGCTATTACCCCTACCCCTACTTCTTTTTTAGTTGACTTTCACATTTTTGAGACAGGGCCTCACTCTGTGGTCCAGGATAGCATGGGACTTACTATATGGTACAGACTGGCCTCCAATTGTTGGTAATCCTACCATTTCAGGTTCTCATGCCCCAGGGTTACACACATGAGCTGCCATACCTAGCAAAATACATTACTTTCAAAGAAGATAAATTCAAGGAGTATGTAGTTTTTGAAGCAAACTTTCAGGTGTATTATCTAAATTTACTAAATTATTTTATTTAAATAAGTACATAATGTTAATAGTTCTTGTAACTGTACTCATTTATATTTCATGAATGCCTGAACCCAAACATTGATGATGCTATAGGAAGTGATACTTGTTTTTTAATTTGATTGTTCAAGGAATCATAGATATTTTTCCTTTTTCAAAAGTGTAAAGATGTTAGTCATTATACAAGAATCAAAGTCTGTTATTTAGTTCTTTGGGAATTGAAACTTGAACAATAAAATTGAAGCCATGTAAAGTATTAGTTCTTTAGTAACAATATTTTGTATTTATTAAGTGGATAGCTTAATTAATTATGATTAATTTAAATTAATCATAATCTGAGGCATAATCAAATAGACAAGAAACTTGAGAAATTCTGAACATCAAACCCTATAAAACAGAGTTGTGTGTCCAAATCTCCAAAACCACTTTGTTCTCTTACTGCTTTAATGTCAGCCTTCTTGCCTCCTCTTCTCACTCTAACAATCTCAATTCTGTGTAACATTTTTTATGAAGGCCAAACATGGTGATCCACGTATGTGATGAAGCAAAAAACTTGAAAGAAGATTTTATTTGCCCACGAGATCTTTTGGTATCAGAAATGAAGTACTTTGCTGAGTATTTATCCATGGATGCCCAGCGCTGGGAAGAGGTGGACATTTCAGTCCATTGTGATGTCCACATTTTCAACTGGTTGATAAAATATGTTAAAAGGAACACTAAGGAGAATAAAGATTGTGAGATTCCCACTTTAGGTAAAAAAAAAAATGTTGCTTATTCTGTGGTGAAATCTGTGTGTCATCTAGTAGCTGTTTTGGGCCCAAACTGAGATGTAGACATTTACTTGAATATCATCAGTATTTATGTTCATATTACAGAGCCTGGTACATTATCTGTCCTCAAAAGGGTCCTGAAGACTCTTTCAAAGGCCTACAAGGTTAACAAAGTTTGCATGACAACACCAAGATGTTACTCACTTTTTCTCTATGTCAGTGTTTGTTCAGAACATGAAAAGGAAATGGTGTGTAAGATTTTTGAGCTTTATAGCCCAAATCAAAGCAAACACAGCAAGCTGTATCATTGTTTTCTCCAATACTATGTACTCCGCTAAAAAGGAAAGGGAAAAACTTAGGCTCACTTGTTCTTGATGAAGCAGTAAAAGTGACTGTCAAATCTCAGACCTCGGGTGTACATCCTTTTCTGGACAGTCATAATGGCCCTGACTTCAGATGCACTTCAGTGCCCCACTGTCTTTAGGGAAAGCTAACTCAGCCAACTTAAAAGTAGAAGTTCTGACAGGTGCTTGATACATTTTTTTCTTTTTGTGAAAAAGCTAGTCACATAAAGGAAAACTGTTAATAGTGTGTGTTATTAGTGATGAAAGCCAAATTCTCAGGTGTGACTGACAACTTCTCCATGCACAAAACTTTTCTGTTAAAATTCTGTTGGTCTTACTAACAAATCTGACTTTTAAAATGCCTCTTTACAATGAAGTATCCGAATATTTAGAATGTGCATAACTCAGTAAGCCAGACGTTTCCATCTGAGCATCGTGCAGTGTCTTTAAAAGCCTGTGATGGGTTAATGACGCAGCACAGTAAAAGATGAGTCATTGGACAACGTAGAAGCTTATTGATGATAGGGTTTCGGTTTCTGTTCCACTCAACCTTCAAGAAAATACTCTTTGTCAAGTTTAAGCTTGAGAAGAGCAGCCTACCCCCAAATTGGATGCAAAAGATGTGAAGCCAGGCATGGTGGTTTATGCTTGAAATTCCAGCACTTGGGAAGCTGAGGCAGGAGTGTTGCTATGAGTTGAAGCCTGGGCTAGAGTAAGATCCTGCCTCAGGAAGAAGAAAAAAATAGATAGGAGAATTCTACAGTCAGTTAAGTTAAACATTGTAGAGACTGACAGAACATGTCAGTCAGTGCCACTCACTAATTTTTTTCATTTGAATATATTTTTCCCAAAAAATATATGTACATGTAATAGGGTTAGGTTTTAAAACTGACTTCTAAAAAATTCTCTGTTTACATTGTTTCTGATGTGGTAAATACTGAAATATGACCCACATAAACAAAACCTGTTTAGGATTCTTAGGTTTTAAGATTGTAAAGGAGTCCTGAGACTAAAAATTTTAGAACCAGTGTTCTTAATGATAGTAAGATAATTGTTAAGGGACTTGTATATATGAAAACATTATAGTGAAACCCATCATTTTAATATTAAAATACTATTTGAAAAGATAATAACTAGTAAGTAATCTCTTAATGGGCATAGATTTATATAAGATAATAAAAATCTATGTACTAGAATAGCAATATCAGAATATTTTCAAATACATAATAGAGGTTGGGAGTATGACTCAGTGAGAGTGCTCACCCAGTATTCATGTGGGTTCAAATTCAATCATTAGCCCTGAGAGCAAATAAAAAAAACTCTTATTAAAATATTTACAATATTCAAAAGATTTCTGAAGTTTAAAATTTATGATATTATAGTGACCAAACAAATGGGAAAGATTTCTAAATAAAAATGTTTTAAATAAAAATTCAATTCTAAGGTAGTTAAATCCAAATTTTCAGCTATGGCTGGAGAGATGGCTCAGTGATTAAGAGTGCCATCTGCTCTTCCAGAGGACCAGGTTGGATTCTTAGTTCTCATATGGCAGCTCACAACCGTCTCTAACTCAGCTTTAGGAGGCCCTGTGCCCTTCTCTCTCCTCCTCAGGTACTGCGTGCACATGCTACACACGTGCATATGGGCAAAAACCTACATACACGAAGTCTTTAAAATTTTTAAATGTCTTCTAAAAATTTCAAGCCAGATTTCAGATGATCTAGTTGTGAATTTATGTGTGCATATTTATACTCATATGTATGTACACACACATACACACACCTCTTTTGTGGTGAGAAGTGGCCTGTTGTGAGAAAATCGAGAGAATAAAAGTATATATAGATAACAGAAATTTGTTCACTGCAGCATATTCGCATGCATGCATATAATAAGAGTGAAAGAGAAGAAAAACAATTTGTTCTGTTTATTTTTGGCTTACGTCAGTGCTATGAATACAAACTTTTTTACAAGTGGTCCTCATCCTAACCAAGAACAGTGTGAGGATGATGCCTAATTAAATCTCATAATCAAGCCACTAGCTCTTAATTGGATGGCATATCCTCAGATACAATTTCCCAAGAAGCTTTTCCAGCCACTTGAGGACTTTTAACTAGAACTGTTATTTGGGAAGATTGGAATTATTTACCCATTGTTTAGTCCAAGAAGGATTTCTGCTACGAAAGGGTTTAGAATGATTATTACCGGAACGATGGAAAGTGGCCGGGTGTTTTCTTCTTAGATATGTTTGATAGAGATGACAGATTTACTAACACTGCCATGTGTAGCAGTACCTCCTTTCCCCAGCTGTGTGCCTGGAGACCCACTTAGTGTGGCAGTAGCATGTAGCTTTAACATTTTGCCAGTTAATTTTTATTAAATTTCAGAATCTTTTACATTGAAATATTTATTTGCTAGCACTGAATGCTTTTCTGAAATAACTTCCATAGTTAATGTTATCATTAGTCATCGTTTAACTTTTCTCACCGTGACTTTTGCATGTTGTTATTTTAGATAGTCTTTGCACTTCACATGAGTCTAATTCAAGGACAGTTTGCCATGTCTCTCTATACCCTATGATTTAACATTGTTTTCTTTCTTTTGTTTATTCAATCTAAGTGATTGATTACTTAGATTATTCAATCTAAGTAAGGGATAGCAAATTTTTTTTATTAAAGTAACATATTCTTTTAAGATGAAAAGAGAAAATTGAGTTAAAAGTCAAAAGGAAATTTCAATGTTTTTCTTTTTATTAGAGCCTGGAAATGTCATTTCAATTCTTATTTCTTCAGAGTTTTTGAAGATGGATTCATTAGTAAGTATTCATTTTTAAAAATCTAAGCCCCTTTATTGACCTAATGTTTTTCCCCTTTGAATGTATAGAAAGAAAAATAGTTCAAGGGTATAATTGTAACAGTATTCTGTTCTGTTGAGAAGGGGTTAAGACTACTGGGTATCATTTGTATGTTATGTCTATAATTGGAACAACCATTGTATAATTTGAAACTAAATAGAATTAACTTTATTCCAAAAGATTTTTGTTCTATCACTAACAAAAAGAAATTGGAATATATTCTGTTGCACTATTTAAATAATTTCTTTAGTATGTTTTATTCTGTGCCTCTCATTTATAGTTCGATGAACAAAAACCTATTATCCAGCTACTAAACAATGTAGTTTTGCATTTACTTCATAGTTCCTATCTATTGCTTAAAAATGGCTGATCAAATATAAAAGTATAATATATGCATATCTATTTCAAGCTTATATTAAATATGTTTATTTTTTCTTATTTATTTAAGAAATATCTGGGTCAGCCTAGGATGCATAGTCAGGTTTGATCTTACAAAACCAAAAGGGGAAAATCTTTATAATTCCAGTGGTTTCATATGTTTCCATGGCTGACATTCTGTAGCTATTATTTAAAGAAGTACTTGGTTTGCTCCTGATAAGACTGTATAGAGCAGAGCACTATGCTGTGTGCAGATGGACTCACTGGTTTCTTTAGAGTTTACTCAGTACTAGTCTTTGTACTCCTCAGTTAGCGGGATTTAATGGCTTCAAACAAGGATATGGGGGAAAAAAATCAGAGTCCTTAAGCTTTGAGTTTTGAAACCTAAGCCCTGAAAGATTCCTTTTATACCATCAGAGCAGTGTTTAGAAAACTATGAGACTTCCCTCTCTGTACCCTAACACTAAGTAAATTCACCACCGCAGATTAGAAAAAGCAAATGTAACAGAACTGAGAAAATCCTTAAATGAAATTTTGTTTCTCTTTCATAGGAGAATGGGGATAACTTAATAACTAAGTTTAACCATAAGAAGTCATTTGAATATGCACTGTAGTGTACAGATTAAGATTTATACCTGCTGCAGCCATTTAAAAGACATTATTATTTTAAATAAAAGGAATTGGAAATAATTTAGCTATGCATGTTTATAAATTTTACCTTTAATAATGTCGATCAACACAATAGATGTGGGTTTGGCATTTCGTGAGGCTTGTGTTTGAAATTACAGTATCATTTGTGTTACTATTTTCAACATTAGTTTTCTATCCTGTTTTCAGGTTGAACAGTGTATTCAGTATTGCCACAGAAATATGAATGCCATAGTAGCTGCTCCATGTAACATGAACTGTATCAATGCAAACCTCCTCACACGCATAGCCGATCTGTTCACACACAATGAAATTGATGACTTAAAGGACAAAAAAGATAAGTTTAGGAGGTAACTCTTTAGACCTTAGTTTTAAGCCTAGTAAGTTTTGTTAAGTATATTTCTACTTGATTTTAGTGAAATTCTATTTTACTAAAATATATTCCTATTTTGCTTTAATAAAAAGCCAATAGCTTATGGTCCATTTTAATGATTTAAAAGATTTTGTCACATTTAATTGTATCTTGTGTGTATATGTGCATGTGTGCCCCAGCACACATGTAGATCAGAGGACAACCTCCCACAGCAGTTTTCTCCTTCCACAGTATGGGTTCTGGGGTCAAACTCAGGACAACCTCCCACAGCAGTTTTCTCCTTCCACAGTATGGGTTCTGGGGTCAAACTCAGGACAACCTCCCACAGCAGTTTTCTCCTTCCACAGTATGGGTTCTGGGGTCAAACTCAGGCACTCAGGGATGGTGGCAGACACCCTTACCCACTGAAGCGTCTTGTTAGCTCCTAGTAATCATTGTGTATAATGAGCATATGAACATACGGCGATAATGAACTGTGTTAAGATTAAGACTTCATTTTAAAGGGCAAAGTGGTATGATATGAGACCAGTGCAGGCTACTGAGGTCAGAGCAGGGAGAACAGACCTTATTCTAGGTTTAGACAGAAGCAGAGTTTTTAAGATCTGTTTTTAAGATATTCAGGTTGCTGTGTAGAGAACATGAAGAACATAAGAAGCAAAGAGACATGCTAAGAGGCTAGAGTAGTAGCTCAGTGGGAAACTATGGGGTTTGGATCAGGGTAGGTGCAGTGGTGCTCCCGACGAGTTCAGTGCATGTCATTTAAATGATTTGACAGATTTGTGAAGGGGATCGTGTGGGAAAAGAGAGGACCCAGAATAGCTACTAAGTTCTCAACTTGAGCATGTAAATGGATGCAAAAGCCATTACTGCAGGAGGGAAAGGCTGAGAGGTAAACCAGGAGGCAGCTTAGGCCTTACAGATCAGTGTACTTGTTGGGTATCTGGGTGGTGGCAGGTAGCTCGTCGGGTATGTTCTTCAAGAGTGTCGGTCAGGGGCCAGGGCTTGTTAACAGAGTTGTGGATAAACGGAGCAGTGTTCCAGGATGGCATTCCCAGCAAAGGCAGTTAGTGCATTTGCTGTTGTGTCAGGAAATCGTTGCCTCCTTGTGGTAATGTTGACATCTCTGACTAACTGTTTTGTTGAGTATGAAGTAGGAGGTCAAGGTTCATTTTTCAAATAGTTATAGTTGATGAAGCATCATATATTTAAAAGGTCTTTCTTGAGCTAGCAGTGATACATGCCTTTAATCCCAGCATTCAGTGGGCTGAAGCCTCGGGATTATCCTGAGTTTTAGTCTTGCCTGAGCTACATTGTAAAATCCAGGCCAGTCTGGACTGCATAGAGAGATCCTGCAACAAAGACTAAAACAAAAATGAACAGAGCAATAAGTACGAAAGGCCGTCCTTCCCCCCCAACTTCAAAATATAAAAATGAGCAGAGCAATAAGTACGAAAGGCCGTCCTTCCCCCCCAAACTTCAAAATATAAAAATGAGCAGAGCAATAAGTACGAAAAGTCGTCCTTCCCCCCCAAACTTCAAAATATAAAAATGAGCAGAGCAGTAAGTACGAAAGGCCGTCCTTCCCCCCCAAACTTCAAAACATAAAAATGAGCAGAGCAATAAGTACGAAAGGCCGTCCTTCCCCCCCCCAAACTTCAAAATATAAAAATGAGCAGAGCAATAAGTACGAAAGGCCGTCCTTCCCCCCAACTTCAAAATATAAAAATGAACAGAGCAATAAGTACGAAAGGCCGTCCTTCCCCCCCCAAACTTCAAAATATGAAAATGAAGGGATTGCTGTGAACGCATGAAAATCCCCAGAACCCACAAAAATGGCCAGGCTTAATAGCATGTGTTTGTAGCCTTAACACTGAAGTAGTAGAGACAGAAGGGTCCCAAGGGCTCACTGGCCAATCTAACCAAAGCGACAACCTCCAGATTCCGTTAAAGATTCCTTTTTGAAAGAAAGCTGGAAGGACCAGAGAGCGTGAGTTCAGTTTCCAGCACCAGTGTCTGTCAGCTCCAACTGCCTGAGACCTCAGCCCCAGGGGATTTGCTGCCCTCAATGAGCCCTTGCTCTTATGTGTACAGACCCACACAGATACATACACGTAATTTAAAGGAATGAAGGGAGGGAGAGAAAAGAGACCACTACCGTGAGATAGTAAATGCAGACATTTAACTGCGGCTGTTTGTTTTCATAGTAAGCTTTTTTGTAAGAAGATTGAGAGACTGTTTGATGCTGAGCACTTGAATCCAGATTCTCGAAACAGTGCTGCAACATTATATAGGTAACGTGCTTTTCTTGGTATGTTACACAATAGCACTACATTATTTAATATACTACGTTAAATTCTTCCTTAGGTATTTTTGACATTTCTTTTCTGTTGTAGATGCTGTTTGTGTAAGAAACTTTTAACCAGAGAAACAGAAAGACGAATTCCTTGCATCCCTGGAAAAATCAATGTGGATCGACATGGAAATATTGTCTACATCCATATAAGGTGCAGTGAAGATGATGTACAGTTTCTGTGTGTGAATTTTAGGAGAACTTATAAAAACGTAGCTTACTTTTCTATAAGAACGTCCCCCCATCTCTCTTTTCAGGAATGTTAGGGATCAAACTTAGTGCCTTGTGCATGCTAGTCAAGCACTCTGCCTCTGAGCTACATCTCAGCTCTTGGTTTTTTAAATGATTTATTTCTTGTTTGTGTGCATGTGGGTGTGTGCGGGGTCAGAGGACAGTCTTCCATTATTACATAGCTCTTGGGGATCAACTCAGGTCACCGAGCTCCTTAGAGAAGCACCTTTGCTGGTGGAGCCGTCTCACCAGCCCCAGCCCTTGTAGACACATAAAACTAGAAGGCTAGGGACATAATTCAGTTGGTAGAGTGCCTGCTTGGCATATATAATAAAGTCGTAGGTTTGACCCTCAGTACTGCAAGATTCACGCGGGACGGTGCATCCCAGTAATTTCAGTACTCTGGGTGGAAAAGCAAAATGACCACAGACAGTCAAAGTCATCCTGGGCTACATAGTGCTCAAGATCAGCCTGGGATGAACACACACACACACACACACACACACACACACACACACACACACACACACAGATACACACACACACTATTTTAAAGAACGTAGTCATGAAAATATTAACTGTTGCTTCTGGATGGTTCTTTTTCTGTATTAAAAATGTGTAAGTGGGATGGAGAGATGGCCCAGTGCATTAGGTGCTTGCCACACAGGCAGGAAGACTGTGTTTGGATCCCAGCACCCACACAAAAAGCTGGATGTGCTAGCACAGGCCTGCAACCCAAGGTTGGGGGTGGAGGACCCCTGAAGCTCTGTGGTGAGCCAGTGCAGCCAGAACAGGAGCTCCACGTTCAGTGACGCTCCCTGTGTCAGAACAGTTAGATGGTGAGTCATAGGGGAAGATACCTGATCTCGTCCTCTGGCCTCCACACACTTGCACATGGCCAAGTGCACCCCACATACATGTTCAAACATGCACACATGCAAAGTAATTTTTAAATCCATAACCTGCGTGTATGTACACACATACCCACATGAAAGCATACATCCACCACACACACACACAAAACCATAGCCAGGTGTGGCTTACACACTTGCACATGCCATGGCACATGTACTTGCACACACCCACATATACAAATAAGCAGTAAATAGCTTTTAAAAAGTAAAAATGAAATAAAGGTTCTTTTAACCAACATTGCATCATCTTAACTGCTGACCTGTTCAAACCGTGTAATTAATAATATTTAGCTAAACAAAATAAGTATATATTCATCCTGTCCTTTCCATACTTTCTTCTGTTGTCTAAAAATAAAGAAATTGTACCTACCACACTATCATTTGAAGAGTATTCTTGGAAACAAGCCACATTTGGTTAAAACAAATTGTATCTCTCACTTAAAATAATCGAGGGTTTTTTTTCTCCAGAGATAAAACCTGGGATGTACATGAGTATTTGAATAGTCTTTTTGAAGAATTAAAATCTTGGAGAGATGTATATTGGCGCTTGTGGGGAACGATCAACTGGCTGACTTGTTCAAGGTGTTACCAGGTGAGGTTTTAACGCAAGTGGTGTGGTGGTGGTGGTGGCGGCGCACACCTTTAATCCCAGCATTGGGAGGCAGAGGCTGGCGGATCTCTGTGAGTTCAAGACCAGCCTGGTCTACAAGAGCTAGTTCCAGGACAGCCTCCAAAGCCACAGAGAAACCCTGTCTCGAAAAACCAAAAGCAAACAAACAAAAAGAATAGTGGTCTGTTAGGCATTGTTTACATCTGCCTTTATTTCTTTTGCCATTTTTTCCTTTCTTCCTCTTGTGTTTATTTCTGAAACAATTCTTGCCAGACTTTGAGAAAAGCAACAGATTCTTTGTTACCTAATCCACTTTTTAAATTTAAAACATACAGAATTTTTATTGCTTTCATTTCCAACCAAACTGTTTCTCCTTTAGGCCATAAGTTTCCTTAGAGTTTCAGGGTTGTGGCCTCCTGGCTTGGTTTTTGAGACAGGTGTTACTTAGCACGCAGCCTCCTCTGGCCTGGAGCTCACAGTCCTGTCAGCTCCCTGGTGTTGCTCCTGCAGGTGTGTGCACAGGCGTGCACCACCACACCTGGCTGCTGCCCCCCGCACCACCACACCTGGCTGCTGCCCGCCCTCTCCCCAGGCCCAGGGCTCCAAAGTTGGATCTCAAACTATACCACTGAGCATACTGTGTCCCCAGCCTTGTTCATGGTTTTGTTGTTGTTGTTCATGGTTTTAATCATTTAAATTTATAACAAAAGCACAAGTAGGTTAGTTCTTGAAGGCACATATGAAGACTTTTTACAAAGTCATAGTCATTACTAACTAGTCTTATGTAAATCCAAGGTTTTTTACATCAAATCTCTCATGAATTCCCTTCCTTTAGATTTCTCTCTGACTTGATTTTCAGTGAGGGAGGAAGAACAGGTCATCAAAGCCATCAGATTTGGAATGTCCGAGCATATGTGAGTCTTGCTCACTGAACTAACCCTGGGTTTATTGAGCTAGATCTTACAGAGAGTACTAGTCGTTCATTTTGTGAGGTTGATACATACATACAGTGACGTTACCACCATCAGAGCAAGAACATTTTCATTATTGTTTGCCTGTGGTCCTTTTTAAATCAGCTCCTTAATGGTTGACAGTCACTGCCAAACCTTGTGTTGGATTTTAGTGTGTCCTTTTCAGAGTGTCATTAGATAGAACCATACAGTGCTTAATTACTTGAGTGGACATTCACTCAATAAAATGATTTTGAAATTTCAACATGCTGTTGTATATAACCATTCTCCCCTTTTATTGCTAAGTATCCTTCTGTCATAAAAATTATGTGTGCTAATCATTCACCAGCTGACACACATTTGTAGTAGTTCTAATTTGGAGTCATTGTGAAGACAATTGCTGTAAATATTCTCATACCGGTTTCCTTATAAACATGGGTTTTTAGATCCCTTGAGTGATTACCTAGAATTAGAACAGCAGTAGAATAATATAAGCTAACATTTTCTAAATTTCCTGAGTCCTTTTGCATTCCTTTAGCTGTATATGAAGGTGCTAATTGTTCCTTGTCTTGATAACATGTTTGAATATTTGTCATTGTTGTTAAATTAATTGTTAATTTTGATTTTGCTCTGAGTGTTTTAATGAACTTACATGTGGATTTGGCACCCATTTCATAACCATACCATAACAAGTTATTTTCTTTAATGACTGGAAGTTAGGCCACAGTTTTCATAAATACTGATACTCAGTATCAAGAAAACCAAGGAATAGCCAAGTGAGGTGAAATTATTTGATATTTCACTGGAATTTTAAAAAAAAATTATTGATCACTTTTAAAATTAGGCATATATACTAGTATCTGTTTTATTCATCTGAATTTTTAGTAAAGCACTTTTGGTTATGCTTTTTAGGAACATCTTTGGAATATAAGTGTAAGCTATAAAATTATTATGTAACTCATCCATTTTTTTTTTTGTCAGAATCACACTTACTAAGCGTCATCCGGTTTTAGTACAGTCCCATCACCTCGGAAAGAGCCTGGTGCCTGTCTGCTACCCCTCAGTGTTCTTGCCTCAAATCTTGGCAAGTGTTCATCTACTCTGAGCCTCTGTAGGCGGACCTTTTTTGTGCATTTCATACAATGAGATGTGCAATATACGGTCTGCAGAAATGTATTTTTGAGACATATGTCACTGTGGGATAATTGTGGATTTTTATATATCTCTTTTACCCAGGCTTTTCTCTGTATTGAATTCTCACATTGTCAATACCACTCAGAAGTGGTAGTTTATTCCACTACAGTAAGTTCACTGAGCACTGTGGGCACTGGAATTTATCCCTGCTGTAACCAGAAAGTTCTTCGATTTGATCCCACTCAGCTCACAAAGGTAAGATTTTTGTTTTAATCTTTGATTAAACTTTGACAGTTTCATGTATCTATATAATGCATATTGATAATATCCATCCACCACTATCTCTCCCCAGGTCCCCCTAATGCCCCACCCCATGTCCCTCCTGCCTGCCTTCATGGCTTTTACTGTCATTAATAACCCTCTGCATCCAGTTATTTCTGCCAGAGAAACTAGAGGTCAGCTTTGAATATTCCCTTTAATAGTTCGGCTCCCCCTATCATTTTTATGTAAAATCTTTATTCTTTTCAAGTGCAACTACATCAACATTAAAAACAAAAACAAAAAACTTCAGAGAGTACATACAGAAGTGAAGAGAAATAGCAATCTCTCTCCCCACCACTCCCAGCTTCTTAGAAGTAACAACAGTAAACAGTTCGCTTTCAGATCTTTTTTTATTTAATCACTGTGACAATTTCACACATGTATGATATATCTTGCTACATTCACTCCTGCACATTCTCTTCCCTTCTACTCTCTCTACTGTCTCCCCAACCCTTACTACCAGGAAGTCCCCAGTCCACTTTCATGTCTTTTGTGTGTGACACATAGGATATAGCCAGGCTCATTCACATAGGCTTTGTTTTGAAACTTGTAAAGAGAAGCCTTCCCGCCAGCCTGGTTCCAGTGCCGCATCAGTCCCAAATGAACATACAGGAGCCTATATTAATTATGAAGCTGTTGGCTTTGCTTGTTTCTTACTGGCTAGCTCTGACTTAAATGTTTATCCCATAATTGTTAATCTAAGTATTTCTCTTACTGGAGAAGTTTCCGGGCTTCTTATCCCTATGGCGGTTACATCTTGACTCCCTGTATTTCTCCTTCCCAGAGTTCTCCTGGACTCCTAGTCCCTCCTATCTTGCTTCCCTATTGGCCAACAGTGCTTTATTGACATATACACAGGATTTCCCCCATCAGAAACTGTCTACCAGAGCATGGATAAGTCATGAGTTACCAAAGACATCACTAAAGACAATGATTCCCTCTTATCCAGCTGCCCACAACTGCCATTAGCTCTGCTGGGTAGGATCAGGCCCCATTAGTCCCTCCCCATCCATGACTAAATAGTTACTACAATTTTAGTCTTGTGCTAGCCCTATCAGGCAATTACAACTGTTGTGAGATCATGAGTATCATGATCATGTCAGACCCACAGGACTACATGGTCCTCCCTCACTATCATCCAGCTCTTACATTCTTTGTGTCTCCTCTTTCATGATGTTCACTGAGCCTTAGAAGATAGTTTATGTTTAGTGATCCAGAGTTGACTGGACCTGAGAGAGTGGAGCCTAAAAGTGAGGCAGACTATTCTCAAGCAATAGGCAACTTTATTCACAGCATCAGACAAATTATACCATGAGGGTTAAAGAGGTCACAGAGTAAAGTTCTCGTGAGTTCAGGCTGCACATAATCACAAGGGCAAGCTGCACGTGGCAAAAGCATGTTTTTCCATGGTGGCCTGTGAACAAATAACAACAGCTGGTTGTAATGAATAATCTAAAGAACACTCACTCCTATCTACTACTCCTGGTAGGGGCATGAAACCACATTCCAAGAACAATCCCATGGTTTTGAAGAAAGGGAGGCCACAGAAGCAGAAGGAACATTGCCAAATTCATTTTGAGGCCACAGTCATCCTGATAACCAAACCACACAAAGATCCAACAAAGAGAATTGGGGATCATTTTCCCTTATTAACATTGATGTAAAATATACTCAATAAAATACTCTCCAATAGAATCCAAGAACACATCAAAAACATCATCCACCATGATCAGTGTTGACTTTATAGACTTTTTGTTGTTGAAATCCAACTATTATAATCTATGGTGGTTTGATAGGATGCAGGGTTATTTTAATTTTCCTGTATCTGTTGAAACTTGCTTTGTGACCAAGTATGTGGTCAACTTTGGAGAATGTTCCATGAGGTGCTGACAAGAAAGTATATTCTTTTGTGTTCTGGTGAAATGTTCTGAAGATATGTTAGGTTCATTTGGTTCATAACATGTTAGCTCCAGTATTTCTGTTTAGTTTTTGTCCTAAATATCTCTCAATGTGTGAAGGTCAGTGTGTGATTTAAGCTTTAGTAGTGTTTCCTTTACAAACTTGGGTGCTGTTTTGTTTGGGGCATAGATGTTATGAATTGAAAACCCATCTTGTTTTATTTTTCCTGTGATGAGTATGAAGTATCCTTCTCCATCTCTTTTGATTAACTTTGGTTTGAAGTCTATTTTAAATGTTAGGTGTTAGAATAGCTACACCAGCTTGCTTCTTGGGTCCATTTGCTTAGAAAATCTTTTTCCAACCCTTTATTCTGAGGTAATGTCTGTCTTTAATGTTGAGGTATGTTTCTTGTATGCAGCAGAAGGATGGGCCCTGTTTTCATATTCATTCTTTTCATTTTTATTAACCTGTGTCTTTTTACTGGGGAATTGACGTAGCTGCATAGAGAGACCCTTTCTCAAAAAATAAATAAAAAGATATATAGTCATATAGTGTAACACTATACATTAAAACAAATATTACAGTTACGTGTAGCAGCATGGTTTACTTATAAAAATATAATGTTAAAGAAAACAAGGCAAGCCAGGCGGTGGTGGCGCACGCCTTTAATCCCAGTACTCAGGAGGCAGAGGCAGGCGGATCTCTGTGATTTCGAGACTGGCCTGGTCTACAAGAGCTAGTTCCAGGACAGCCTCCAAAGCCACAGAGAAACCCTGCCTCGAAAAACCAAAAAGAAAAAAGAAAAAAAGAAAAGGAAAAGAAAGAAAGAAAGAAAGAAAGAAAGAAAAGAAAACAAGGCAAAATTAAATCTTGTGTTTAACCATATAACAACAAGAGACAGAAGGATAGAAAAAAGAAGAAATGGCTGTCAGTGTTGGAACACAGGACAGAGGAAGGGGGCAGTTACATAAGAATGGATGGAAGCAGGAAGGGCTACTGAAATATTGTTTCCTTTTTGAAATTATTACATTTGGGAGGACACACATGCCACAGATTATACGTGGACATCAGAGAACAACCTGGAAGAGTGGGTTCTCTCCTTCGACCATTTGAGTTCCAGGGGTCAAAGTCAGGGACCAGGCAGTGGATTGAGCAATCTTTCTACCCCATGGTTGTTTTTGTTTTGTTTTTTTAAGATTTTGGTTATGTGTGTGTGTGTCTGTGTTTGGGCATGTATGTGAGTGCAGATGCCCACATAAGCCAAGCATTGGATCACTGGGAGCTGGAGTTCTAGGTAGTGATTAACTACCTGATGTGGGTGCTGGTCATTGCACTCTGCTCCTCTACAAGAGTAGCACATGCCTTAACCACCAGCCATATCTGTAGCTCCCCAGTGTTTTTAATGTGAATGGTGATCATCATCATCTCAAGTGTTTGTTCAGACATACATTTATGTTTCAATTTATTTTCTGCATGTTAAGGGAAAAAGTGAGATAGATAATTTGACTGAAAAGAGATATAGATGATTCGTAAAATATTTTTCATTCTTGAGAATTTAATATAGCTATAAAATAAAATATGATCATATCAACCCTCATTTCTCCCCTGTAGCTCTTTCCATATGCCCAGAACATGCTCCCCTCCTAAGTTCATGTTTTCTCTTTCTCTTTTTAATAAACCTCTAAGTTTAGTTAGTGCTGCTCATATGTACATGCATAGTCATCCACTGGAACACAGGACTACTCCAAGTGGCCACATGCTCCAAGATGAATGATTCTCCCTCTCCTAGTAATTATTAGCTGCCAGTAGCTCCTCAGTAAGGAGCGGAGCCTAAATTCATCTAACTTATCTGTGCCACAATTTAGAGTGACTTGATCTGACACAGTGTCTTAGTCAGTGTTCTGTTGCTGTGAAGAGATACCGTGACCACAGCAACTCATAAAGGAAAATGTTACCTGGACTTGCATACAGTTTCAGTGGTTTAGTCTGTTGTCATCATGGTAGGGAGCATGGTGGCATACAGGCAGACATGGTGCTGGAGAAGTAGCTGGGCATTTTACATCTGGATCTGTAGGCAGCCAGAAGGGGAGACTGCCACACTAGGCCTAGCTTGAGCATATGAAACCTCAAAGCCCACCCCAGTGACACACTTCCTCCAACAAGGCCACACCTACTCCAGCAAGGCCACACCTCCCAATCCTCCCAAGTAGTGCCACTTCCTGATGACCAAGCATTCAAACATATGAGCCTATGGGACTTTTCTCATTCACACCACCACAGCCACATCTCCTGTGAGTTCATGAGTGTAATGCCCATGTCACGCCCAGAAGATAGCATGTCACAGCACAGCTTCCTGTTTTACACCCTCCTTTTCTTTGATGCTCCATGGGCTTTGGTGTGTGTGGCATGTTAACATAGGCATCCCATTTATGGCTGAGAACTGCATCTCTTTTGTTGTTGTTAATTTATTTTTTACATTCCAACCCCAGTTCTCCCTCCCTCCTCTCCTTCCGCTCCCCCTACTCCGCCTCCTCCCATCTGCTCCTCAGAGAGGGTGAGGCCTCCCTTAGGAAGTCTACTAAGTCTGTTCCATCATCTCATTGAGGCAGGACCAAGGCACCTCTCCACCCCCACATCCCTGTGTCTAGGCTGAGCAAGGTATCTCTCCATACAGAATGGTCTCCACTAAGTCAGTCTGTGCATTAGTGTTAAATCTTGACCCACTGCCAGTGGCCTCATACATTGTCCCAGTCACACCATTGTCACCTATATTAAGGGAGACTAGTTACGTCTTATGCAGGTTCCCCATTTGTCAGACCTGAGGCAGTGATCTCTCACTAGCTCAGGTCAGCTGATTCTGTGGGTTTCCCCATCATGAATTTGACTCCTTTGTTCATATTATCACTCTTCCCTCACTTTGATTGTACTCCAGGAGCTTGGCCCATTGGTTAGTTGTGGGTTTCTGCATCTGCTTCCATCTGTTTCTGGAAGAGGGCTCTAGCTTCTCTGGGGTTGTGGATTGTAGGCTGGGTATCTTTTGCTTTATGACTGGTATCCACTTATGAGTGAGTACATTCTATATTTGTCTTTCTGGCTTTGGGTTACCTCACTTAGGATGTTTTTTTTCTAGTTCTGTCCATTTGCCTGTGAATTTTAGGATGTCATTGTTTCTTACTGAGTAGTACTCCATTGTGTAAATATGCCACATTTTCTTTATCCATTCTTCAGTTGAGGGGCATCTAGGTTGTTTCCAAGATCTGGCTATTACAAATAATGTTGCTATGAAAATAGTTGAGCAAATGTCCTTGTGGTGTGAGTGTGCCTCCTTTCGGTATGCGCCCATCAGTGGTATTTCAGGATCTTGAGAAAGGTTGAGCGCTAATATTCTGAGAAATCTCCCTACTGATGTCCACAGCGGCTGTCCAAGTTTGCACTCCCAGCAGCAATGGAGGAGTGTCCCCCTTTTTCCACATCCTTTCCTGCATAAGCTGTCATTGGTAGAACTGCATCTCCTAAAAGATTGTTTTTATAATGAACCTACCTCTAACAGTATCTCTTATGTCTGACAGGGTTGTAAAGTGAGGGACCACATGGTTATTCTCCATGATCAAGGAGAAAACGATGATTTGCTTTCTTGTCCAACTACTAGAATACTGGACGATCTACACAAGCACAGAGATGTCATTGTTATACCTTTTTTAAAAGATGCAGTTAGGTAAGAAAAAAGAACACTCTTTTCTTAGCTTTTTGGGTAGTTTCCATTTCACAGTGCCCTCTCCCCAAGGGTTTCCCTGTATCAGTAGTGTCAATCCTCCCATAGTTACCGTCTCAGAGAGTTGAACTGAAGGGCTTAGGGATGTAGCTTGGTGGTCCAACCACTGTTTAACATGTGCAAGGACCTGGTTTAATCTCAGCATTGTGGTGTGTGTGTGCCGAGGGAGGGGGGTATCTTAGTTGGGGTTTCTGTTTCTTGGATGAGACACCATGACCAAAAGCAAGTTGGGCAGAACAGGGTTTATTTGGCTTACACCCCAACCTTGTAGCCCATTGATGAAGAAAGCAGGACAGGAACTCAGACTACACAGAAACCTGGAGGCAGGAGCTTATGGAGAGGCTCTGGAGGAGTGCAGCTTTTTGGCTGGTTCTCCATGGTTTTCACACTCTGCTTCCTTATAGAACCCAGGACCACCACCCCATCGGTGGTCCTGCCCACAATGGATTTGCCCCCTACCCTACCCAGTCAGTCACTCATTAAGAAAACATCCTACAGGCTTGGCCTCAGCCTGATCTCATTGCAGCTCCCTTCTCAAATGACTCTAGCTTATGGTAAATTGACACAAAAGTAGCCAGTGTGGGGACACCGGGGAGAGAGGAAAGAATCACCGAACTTAGGGTTGTTTACACCAAGAACAGAATTATTTGACAGATAAAATAGAAAAAAATAGAGGAAGTCCAAGGGAAGAAAAATTAACTAAAAGAACTGGAAACTAAAAATGTTGTGTTCTTTTGTTTTTTTCCAAGATGACAGTTTCTCAGTAGCCTTGGAGCCTGTCCTGGAACTCACTCTGTAGACCAAGCTGGCCTCAGACTCACAGAAATCTGTTTGCCTCTGCCTCCCGAGAGCTAGGATTAAAGGTGTGCACCACTACTGCCTAGGTGAAATGTTGAGATTTTAAATCCAAGTTTTGAAATTTTTGAATTCTTTCCCTACATTTCTTTCCCCTCACCCATCTTATACCATCACCAAACCTTGGGCCTTAAGCATGCTGAACAGTGGTTCCACCACTGGGCTGTCCCCGTGCCAGACTGACACACAAGGAAGAAGCAGGCAGTTGAGATCACCTTCCATAACTTTGAACTCTTAAATTCAGTCATTTCTGCAATCACTTCTGTTGTTTTGTTCCCGTTACAGGCTGTCAGTTGGGCTAGAGGAATCTAAAAGAGGCTTTTGGAGAGCAGTGTCAACGCAGCAACCTTTTTACTGCCTACCACCTGACAGAATTTTCTTAGTGTGACAGTGTGCCTCCCATGGGATGATCTGCTAGAGTAATTACTAGACATTAAAAGTGTAAATATTTCCAGGCATAATAGGGCACGCCTTTAATCCCAGTACTGGGGAGGCAGAGGCGAATGATCTCTGAGTTTGAGGCCAGCCTAGTCTACAGAGCAGGACAGTTCCAGGACAGCCAAGGCTACACAGAGAAACTCTATCTCAAAAAAAGAGGGGGAGGGGAGTAAATACTGAAGTGACATCCTAATAGTCAAAAACTAAATTCTATTTTTGTAGTGATACAGATCAGGACTGAGGCCTCCTGTAAGAACTTGTATTTCTTAGGCTGTACAAACATCTGTAAGAACAAGGTAGTCTGCATGAATACAAGAGAACTGTGTGCAGTGCCTAGGGGAGCAGAAAGGTTGTCACATTCCCTTGGAGCTGGAGTGGCAGGTGGCTGTGAGGCACAGGGTTGGTGCTGGGTACCAAACCAGGTTCCTCCACAAGAAAAGCACGTCCTGAGCCAGCCCTCCAGCCCTCCTGTAAATTGTAAGGAATTGAATGTTTCTCTATAAAATGTCCTTCTCATTCAAGTGACCCTGGGCTTGGCCCCGGTGATGAAAAGGGCCTGGAATGTGATGTTTTGCTGGAACCAAATACACCATGGGGCCCCAAAACTGGGGAGCTCAATGCTGTGAGTAACTTTCCTATTTCATGTATATATAAAGCTACTGATGACATTTTTTCTTTGACAGGAACCTAACCTATTTAAATAGAAATTGAACTGATTATCCAAACATGATAGTATGCTGAGTGAATAAAACTATAAAGAGTGATAAGTAATATATCATCTGACTTCAAAGAATTAATAACTGATAAAATTTTAGAAAAAAACCTTATCCTTAGGCTTTCCATTGTGTATCTATACCATATTTTATTTGTCATTCATTTGTTGGTGACCATCTGCTCTTGACCTATTTCCTGACCTTTGTGAATAGCTCAACAATAAAGGTGGCTATGTGAGTATCTCTGTAATATGTTGAGGGTGCTGTTGCTGTGTCATGTGTCAGTTCTAATTGCAATTGGCTGAGGACCCTCCATATTGACTTCCATAGTGGCTTCACAAGTGTAACCCCTGCTAGCAGTAAGTCAGATTTGCTTTCCGTTTGCCATCATTGCCAGTTGTTGTCATTGCTTTTCTTGATGCTAGCCATTCTGGACTGGGGGTTCTAGAGACTGCCTTAGATTATTTAACCTGAAAGTGAACCATACTGTAGCCATGTGAAATTGAGGAGTTGCCATCAGGTTTGTTAACCTGCTGTCCCTCTGTCTTTCAGTTCTTGTCATTGAAAAACTGGACTCTGCAGCTGGTAAGTGGGCCTTTGGATTCACTTTCTGTGGGCTTCTCACTTCCATATTGAAGTCTGATAATAAAATCTTATCATCTTATCTTACAAACTTTGATTAAATGCTTGTCCGCCTTTCCGTTTTCACGCTTACTAAGAAAATGATGTCGATTAGTTAAGGAAAGATAGAGCCTGATGTGGTGACTCAGGCCTGACATCTCAGCTTTTGGGAAGCTGAGACAAGATTCTTGTTACAAGACTTAAAAGAACTGTATGTGTGTCCCCAGTGTCAGAGCACCCTAGAGGCCAGAAGAGGGTATCAGAACCCCTGGAGCTAGAGTTACCAGCAATTATGAGTCACCTGGTCTGAACCCTGGAAACTGAACTGTAGTCCTCTGCAAGAGCCAAGAGCAGAAGATGTTCATAACCATGAGCTGTCTCCAGGCCCTGGTTAAAAGGCTTTTTAAAGTCACCTTTAAATCACATTTAGGGACCTGTTGGATGACTCACTAGTTAGGGTGCTTGCCAGCAAGTCTCATGACCTGAGTTTAAGCCCTAGGACCCTAAAGGTGGAAGGGGAGGAAAGACTTCTGCAGCCTTCTTCTGACCTCTGCTAGTGTCCACATACTAAATATAAATAATTAAATAGGCAAACGTGATTACATCACATTTATGATATTAAGAAAAGTCTAATAAGTTCTTTGTTGGGCATTTTTGTTTTATTTTGTTTGTTTGGCTTCTCAGATAATTTTATATTGCCCAGGCTGGCCTGGGATTTGCCATGTACCTCAGGATGACTCTGAATCCCTGATCCTCCTGCCTCTGCCTTTCCAGTGCTGGGATTACTGGCATGTGTAACTGGGTTGTGTTTGTTTATTTTGTTTGTTTTTTTTTTGAGACATATTCTCCATATATAGAATAGGTTAGCTTCAAATTTACCATACTTCTGCCTTAGCCTCCCAAGTGCTGATATTATCATACCTAGCATTTTATTAGTCCATTTTTTAAATATTTATTTTAATCTGTATGTGTGTTTGTGTGTGCACACTCATGCACGTGAGGCCCAGAGGCCAAAGGCATTGTGGCACTCAGGTCATAGGTGTTTGTGAGCCCCCTGATGCGGGTGCTGGGAAGAGGAGTGCACACTCACAGTCCCATTTTATTAGTTGTTACTTGATTCATCCAAGAAATAAGGTAAATGTGTTCTTAGCAATTCATTCATGGCATAGCAGTGTGGAGTTGGTAATAGGTATGTCTTTCTCTGCGTTTAGAAACAGCAGTCATTATTTTCAGAAGAGGAAGAGTACACCACTGGATCTGAGGTCACTGAGGATGAAGTCGGTGATGAAGAAGAAGTGGCCAAGAAACAAAGTAATGGCTTCAGAGTTAAAAATCAACCCTCACTATGTATGGAGACTTTCACTCTGAACCTTCTAATTCCAGGCATGGGTAATTGGGGTTATATGTCTGCATCTAAGGTTATACTGAGAAAAAGAAATGGAAAGAAATCTCCATGAAGATCCCCTAACCCAGGCTAGCCTAAGCTCTCTCTTAATTACTAACCCATTTCTAGTAATCTGTGTGTTTCCATGTGGTCTCTGCTCACTGGTGATGCTCAAGGCTCTTGCTTTCTCAGCATCTCTCGTGTGACTCATCCTCTGCCTTCTTCTTCCCAGAACTCTCCTAGTCTGGTAGCCCTCCCCATACTTCCTGCCTGGCTACATCCTGCCTGCCCATTGGCTGAAACAGCTTTATTCATCAACCAATAAGAGAAACAGATTCACAGCATACAGAGGACATCCCCCATCATATTTTGGTGGGTGGTACATGTGTGACAGTCTGAGGACAACTCCCATTAGTTGGTTCCTTCTTCCACCATGTGCATACTGGATATTATTGAACTCATATCATTAGACTTAGCAGCAAACAAGCACCTTAACCCACCAAGCCATCTCACCAACCCAAACTTTTTACATTTATTTATTATTATTTGTATATTTTTATGTGTTCTTTGTGTGCTAAGAAAATAGTATTAGTTTATCATTTTAGTAATTTTATTGACTTTTCATTTTATTTGCTTTTGGTTATTCTGAGGTTTGTAACATACATCTTTAATCCATTGTACTCTACTTAAAACCAAATAGTATAAGGAGAAATTACTTTAAATGTAAAAGCTTTAAAATAGTATAGTTCTTTGTACCTTTCCCCTCTGTCTGATGCTGTTATCATAGGCATCAACACTGTTCTTCATGTTCATGGAAGATTGATTCCAGAACACCCACACATTCTTCAGATACTCAAGTCCCTTATTAAATGACATTGTTCTATTTTGTGTTTAATCTGTATGGATTTCTGTATACTAAGTCATCTTTAGGTTACTTGTAAACAGTGTGACTAATTGTTATACTAAATTATGTAGGGGATCTTTTTTTAAAAGTCTGTATCTTCAATGCAGACAAAAAATTTTTAAAAATTTATTTATTTATTATACATACAGTGTTCTGTCTGCATGCATGCCTGCAGGCCAGAAGAGGACACCAAATCTCATTGTACATGGTTGTGAGCCACCGTGTGGTTGCTGGGAATTGAACTCAGGACCCCTGGAAGCTCAGTCAGTGCTCTTAACCTCTGAGCCATCTCTCCAGCCCGCAGACAAAAATTTTAACTGAACTTTTTAAAACTACAAGTGGTTGAATCAATACATGTGGGAAAAACATGAATGTATAGGTCCACTATATCCATAGTGACATTATAACTCAAGTGCTGATTTTTTTTTGCTTTAAAATTTTTTATGTTGCCCAGTATGGTAGTACACACTTTTAATCCCAGCACCCAAGAAGCAGAGGAAGGCAGATCTCTATGACTTAAGTCCAACCTGGTCTACATAGAGAGTTCCAGGCCAGCCAGGGCTACATAGTGAGACCCTGTGTCAAATACATACATACATATGTGCATACACATATACTATGCAGTCATGTAATAAAGAGAGAATAAGAGAAAAATAGTCTTTTATGTTTGCCCATACACTGGCCATTTTCTTTCTTATCTTCATTAGCATCTGATGATGTTTTTCATTCTGTAGGTTGCCTTTAAGCAGGTCTATAAGCAAGGAACTGCTTTCTTTTTATTTATCTAAAAAAATCTTACTTAGAAAAAAGTTTTTCTGATGTGGGAATTTTGGTTACTGGGTATTTTTTCTTTCAACACTTGAAATCACATTTTCCACAAAATTTGGGAAGCATAGTCATTTTTTTTCTTTAATTTACCCCATGGAATTCTAGTTATATATATGTTAAATCTTTTGATGATGGTCCACAAATCTTGAGTTTTTATGGCTTTGATAATCTCTTTGTATTTATGGTTTTTGTTTGTTCTTTGGGGTTTTTTGTTGTTGTTATTGTTGTAGTTGGTAGTGGTGGTGGGGTGTTTTGGATTTTGAGCCAGGGTCTCTCTGTGTAGCTCTGGCTGTCCTAGAACTCACTCTGTAGAACAGGCTGGCCACAAACTCACAGAGATCACCTGCCCCTGCCTCCTGAGTGCTGGGATTAAAGGTGTGAGCCACCACTGCCTGGCTTGGTTTGGTCATTTCTAATGTTCTGTGTGCGTGGTCACTGATTCTCCTGAGCTGTCTGCTTCCTGTTTTCCACTTTGCATTTACGAAAGGACACCTGTCTTTTAAATAGAGACTAACTAGTCCTTGGGGTGGTGCTGCCCACATTCAGGGTGGGCCTCCCCCTTGCTGAGGTCTCTAGAGGTGTGCGTCCTAAGTGCCTCTGCATCTGCGGCCAAGTTGACAAGGAAGAGTAACTGTCACAGCCAAGACTCTGAGCATAGTTGTCAGTAGACATTAGGGCTCACCTGCTCCAGGTCCAGATCTGCCCTCTAACGCTAACACAGCTGTCTGCAGCTTGAGATATGTACAGTTGGGAGAGCTAAGTCAAAGGCACACACAGACTCCCCTGTCTCATGAGCATAAGAAGCATTTTAGGGTCTAGGGTTTCTCATATGGCAAAGTTTAAGGTTCAGCTGAGTATTTAGACAGAGTTATACTCATGTCCCTTTATATTGGCAGCTTTTCTATTGCTTTGCACATTGTCATTTCCTTCCTGGGGTTGGTCAGGGTTAGTTTCTACCCTGTGAGAAGGATCTTCCGTCTAGAGGACCTCAAATTCACTGTTGGTACCTCAACAAGTTTTAAGGTATAAATTGCCTAACTCTGTGCCTAGTTTTAATTATCCTTCATTACTAACAGATAGTTCTGATAAAATTTTTATTGTATTGATATCACTTAGAAGGAATTGCCCATCCCTGTACTATGCCATTACCATTACCATATATCCTATTATGTCTTCTAGCAAATTGTAATTCTTGATTTGTTATTAATTTTGCTGCTTCCTCCTGTGTTATCTTCAAGCTCATCATATCTTACAGGTTTCCCATGTACAGTAGTGACAAAGTTTCCCTTGGAAAATTGTGGGACTAATACCCAAAGAACTGTGGGAGAGTTGCCCAGTACATCCTTCTTGCCCTTAGCCTTTGTTTCTGGAGTGAAGCTCTTCCCCTTTTCTTGCCCTATCCAGAGTCCACCTTACACTTGGCCAGAACAGACTCAGGATATTGAGTTAAGAAGACCACCATCCAGAATATAATTTGTCCCAGCCCTGCTTCCCAAAATCATTCCTGCCTTGCAGCCTTCTTGAGCAGAATTCATTATGAAGCTTTTGCATGTGTATTGATGCCCTGTCTCTGTCCATAATTCTCAAATTGCCTTTTTTTCTAGGTGATAGCAATTTGAATTTGTTTTGTTTTGTTTTTCCTTAAAAATAGAATTGTTGGCAGGGCGTTGGTGGCACATGCCTTTAATCCCAGTACTCAGGAGGCAGAGGCAGGCGGATCTCTGTGAGTTTGAGTCCAGCCTGGTCTACAGAGCTAGTTCCAAGACAGCCTCTAAAACAATGCAGAAAAACCCTGTCTTGAAAAAAAAATAGAATTGTTGGTTAAGTGTTATTCCATTTAGATGTATCAGTGACATTGGTGGGGGTATGGAACTCATGTTCCTAATATTGTCCTTTTCTGTATCAGGGAAAAGGGAAAAACCAAAGAAGTTTACTAAGCAACCAAAAAAACAGCTGTCTTCACCCAGTTCTCAAAAGAAAGAAAAGGCGCTGGAGAAGGTAACTGAATGACCTGATACAGTTTTAAAGTTCACGTAAGAAGTAAAGTTCACAAATCCAAATAGAGTAATGGATAACAAGGAGATGCTAGCAATGGAAATGAATGAGGATCTAGAAGATACCGGGACCTTTGGAAGATGCAAAGCATGCGTGGCTTAGTATGTAAAGAGATAGGATGCACACAGATTTTCTCCCATGTGCATAACCCTTCCACATAGAGCTGTATACACAATTGGTTTTAAGATTAATGGCTCCTTTTAATTGACACTCTTCATGACATGTGCTATCCAAACTTTTTAATTTTAACCAGTAATACACATTTATAAACAGTAAGTAGACTTTTAAAATTGAAGTATACTCTGTATTATGACCTAAAAATTCGCTTTGATTTTCTTGTGCCATAGAAGAGATAAAATTCCAGAACTGAAAGAACAGTAGTAGCTGCAGGTGACTAAAAAGAATCCCTGAGTCCGCCGCTGAATGAAAGGCTAGTTCTAAGATTAGATCCACACTTACACTGGATGGAGTGCACATTCATCTTAGTTAATTAAGAACTACAGATGATGGATGGGTTGGTTTTTGTCAAGAGTGCATAGGCGTAGGTTTCAAGTGCAAGTCTATTTTTTCCTCCTTGCAGAAGTGTCCTAACCTCTCTTCACCTGCTTTACTATGAAGGTCATGTGGTGCTTGTTTCGCTCTCATCGACCTTGTTGATGTAAAGCGTATTTTTTCTATTTATTTTTGAAGACAGGGTCTTCCTGTGGACCCTGGCTTACCTGAACTCACTATGTTGGCCAGGCTGGCCTTCATCTCATCCCTGTGCCCTGCTGGGAATGAAGGTGGGCACCACCACTCCCAGCTGTTGCTGCAAGGCTTAAATGGAATAACAGTTTCAGATGCTCTTGGTGTAGTGTCTTGTACTCAACAATTAGTTAGAACACTGATCAATAAATATGCTCTAACTCGATATTAATGTTGTCTTCTTTATATTTTAGTCAACTTCTAGAGATGTGTCTCCTTTCGTGTGAGTATTTGTTCCTTGATCCAACTGGAAATCCAGTCTTTGTTTTGGTTTGGTTGGTTCTTAGCTTTGCGACAGGATCTGTTGGGAAGTGTGCTCTTAAAGCAGCATCAATGCTTGTTTTTGTTCAATTTATCCAATAGTGTGAGCATGCAGAAGAATAAGTGGGATGCCACAAGATCCTTGAGATTCAACCAGGATGCACAAAGAGAAGATGGTAAATCTTATTATATAGTTAGGTATAATAACAGTGTTCTTATTATCATGTGTTTATCTGGGGTGGTTAAGTGCAGGTGAGTGTAGGTACTGTTAGAGGCCAGAAGAGGGTGTCAGATCTGTTGGGGCTGGAGTTACAGGCAGTTGTGAGCTGCCGATAGGGGCTTGCTATGGGTGCTGGGAACCAAACTTGGCTCCTCTTGGAGAAGAGTTTGTGCTCTTAACTACTCAACCATTTCTCCAGCCCCAAGAATTGTCTTTTGTAAAGTATGCTCAATAGTTGCAAAGGTTCCAGAATAAGGGCACACACACGTGTGCACATCCTCTTGGCACCGAGCAGAGTTCCATCTGTGGCCGTGCCGTAGGCAGTGCGTTGTTTATGCATCTGTGCCAGGCCTCTTGGGCTTGCTACTGTAAAAATGACCAAGTGTCTTAGCTGTGTCTTAGCCTCGTGTTCTTACAACAGAATACCAAAGACGAGTATTTTATCAGAAAAGAAGTTTATTTAGCTTACAGTAAGCGTCTCCTTGGCTCTGCTGGCTACAATCCCAGCTTGATGAATGGCACAACAGGGAGCATGTTTAGGAGGAAGGTGTCATGTGCCAAAACAGGAAGCAAAAGAGGTTATTTTCGTTTCCACCTACCCTTACAGGAATGAAGCAGGGTCACACAATAACTGCATTGCCCCTCTTAGGGCTGGGGCCCAGTAGGATGACCACCAGGCCTTAAAGGTCCCAGCACCACAGTAGGGGGTCAGACTTATACCACACAATCCTTTGAGGGCCATACTCAGCCACATCCATGAATCTGAAAGGCAATACAACTGTCTATATATTAGTTATTTGCTACATGCTACCTTAGATTCTTCACAGATATGTAGAAGTATTACCTAAAACAAATAATAAAAGATATTTTCATATACCTTTGTTGATTAGTCTTTCTAGAAAAATGAAAACTGTTACTTTGATGAAAAGCAATGCTCTTACTTTTTTACCTTCAGATCAGCGGCGGATGTCTGAAATCACAGGGCATCTAATAAAGATGAGATTGGGTGATCTGGACCGAGTTAAGTCAAAGGAATCGAAAGAAGTAAGAATTATTTACCAGTGTGCTATACTTAAGTAAAATTTTCCTTCCAAGTTTTATTTCATCATGAAAAATAGTTAACTGTAATCTTAGTGTTTCTATTGCTGTGAAGAGACACCAGGACCATGGAAACTCTTATAAAGGAAACCATTTACTTGGGGCTCAGTTCAAAGGTTTAGTCCATTGTTATCATGGTGGGACCCGTGGAGGCAGGCACACACAGTGGTGGAGAGGTAGCTGAGGGCTCTACATCTGCATCTGCAGCCAAAGAGAGTGACCCTGAGCCTGTGCTGAACAAAACCTCAAAGGCCACCCCCCAGTGACACAGTCTCTCCAACAAGGGCACACCTCCTCCAGTAAGGTCACGCCTCCTAATAGTGCCACTCCGTATGAGCCTATTGGGGCCGTTTTCATTCACCCACCACAGGGACTATACTGTACTTGTGTAAAGTGTTTCTTTTATTGTTAGCATGAAAAGTATAGAGATGTTTTTAAAAGGGTATTGAAGGAGCATCTTTGATATTTTTATATTCTGTGCCAGTTAGCCAAAATTTACATACAAGTTTTCTGTCATCTTCTACTGTCTATGGTCCATAGGGTCTCTGCATCATACATGATAAAACATATTATCCTTATAGTGTCACCAAGAGTAGGTTGGTTGTGCATTGTTGGCCAAGTGGCTGTGAAGAAAGTGCTGGATCTGTGTGCCTTTGTGTGTATTACCTAGATGTTGCCTCTAAAATAAGATGCTGTCTTGCTGAAAACCAGGACTGCCCTACACTTGTACTCCCACAAGAATTACTATCAGTAATGTATTGCATATCATCAGTCTGCACTATAAATTCACCATAGCTCCTACTCTAATCTGTTTGTACGTTTTTACTTCCTCATTGGAGCACAAGGCCCTAAGTCCAATCACCAACATCAAAAGTAAAATGAAATAAATGGGAACAGGACAGGGTGGAACAAATAATGGAGAAATTCAGTTACCCATAAAATTTGCAAAGGAAAACAAGCCGTGACCTTCAGTTAGATGAAACTTCCTTAGTGAAAGGACCTGTATTATTATTATTATTATTAGTAGTAGTAGTAGTAGTAGTAGTAGTTTTTTGTTTTTTGGGGTTTTTTTTGTTTGTTTGTTTTTCCAGACAGGCTTTCTCTGTATTGTTTTGGAGACTGTCCTGGAACTTGCTCTGTAAACCAGGCTAGCCTCAAACTCACAGAGATCCACCTGCCTCTGCCTCCTGAGTGCTAGGATTAAAGGCGTGCGCCACCAATGCCTGGCTAATATTCATTAATTTTTTATTTCTTATCTTCAACACTAAAGCAGGATCCACAAAAGAAAATTAGAATTCACCGAAACTTTAAAAGCACTATAAAGAGAATTAAAAGACAACTAAGCTAAGCTATGAACTAGCAAGAACTATATTGTGATACCCTGTCTCAGAAAAAGGCAAAGAATTAAAAGACAGCCTGGTCTACAAAGTGAGTTGCAGGATAGCCAGGACTGTTACACAGAGAAACCAGTCTCAAAACCACCCTCCCAAAAAAGGCATTTCATACTCAATAATAAACTGTGTAAAGCATTTGTCTGATAAAAAGGGTTTGTGGAAAAGGAAGGGGAGAAAAATGTTTTAATTAAATTGTAATTTCAAACAAGCTTAGTAGCCAGGCAGCAGTGGCACACACCTTTACTCCCAGCACTAGGGAGGCAGAGGACCTCTGAAAGACCATCTCAAAATAAAACAATTGAGGCTGGAGAGGTGGCACAGCGCTTACAGGCACTGGCTGCTCTTGGAGAAGACCCATAAGATCCATATTTGGTTCCCAGCACCCACATGCCTGCTCACAACCCTTGTAACTCCAGCCCCAGGGGATCCAAGCCCTCTTCTAGGGCACTGCACGTCTGGCATGGAGGTATGCAGGCAAAACACCCATGCACACAAAGTAACAAAGTAATAATGAGTAAAGACACCAAGCAGAGGGTTTGCCAAACATCCCAGAGGAGAGGACACAGGTAGCAAGAAAGCATGAGAAATGAAGCCTCGTTAGTCATTGGAGATGCAAATTAATGTCTCAATGAGATGCTGCTTATTGAAGTTGTGAAATTTTTGTTCAGGTGCTTGTGAGAATGTGAAGCACATGGAATTCTCCTAGATCACTTGTAGGAGTTGTGGGGAATATTTTGGCAGTTTTTCATAAATGCCATGCATTTGTAGTGTCATTATTCATAATAAGAAAAACTAGAAAGTTCCCAAAATGATGTCCTTTACCTGGTAAATGTGACAAGAAAAATTCTGAGATTTCCTGAATTTAAAAGGGCTAGAAAAGGGGTAGAGGAAGCTTAACTCAACAAGGTGTATGGTACACACCTCTAGTCTCAGCACTCAGGAGGATGAGGTTGGAGGACAGCCACATTGAGCATCCCTACTCCCCAGGCTTAGTGGGCATTGTCCCAACTGCTCAGTAGTCTCACTAGTAACAGTGTGCTCCAGGACCTGCCCGTTCTTCTTTCTCTGATTTCTGTAACAGCTCCATAAACTCTTTTCTTTCAAAGAACCCCCAGGCTTAAGGCGTTTTGGTTGCTGGGGATGTAATTCTGTTTATAGAATGCTCACCCAACATGCTTACGGCCCTGGGTTGGTCCCCAGCACAAATAATCCATATGTGGTGGTGCAGTCCCCACACTCTAAAGATGGAGCAGAATGGTCAGAAGTTCAAGACCAGTCTACATGAGACCTGTAAGGGGTGGGAGGGGTTTAGATTTCGCATATAAAGTATACATATTTAAAAATAAAATAAAAGCGCGTTAGAAGCTGCGTGAGGGCTGGCTCTCAGAGTCCTGCCCCAGACAAGAGCAGCTGTGTCCCTGTACATTTGTCAAAATCCACAACTATGTACTAAAAAGCCCGGGTTTTATAGATCAAAAATAAAATTACTTTCTAAATTTGGAAGTGTATCTTGTTAGGGGTCAGTCTTTGCTTCCTTGAAGGTAACTTAATTTTGCTTCTTTATCTCACAGTTTGCAGGAGGTATTTATTCTAGACTTGAAGCGCAAGTCAAAGCCTCTGCGCCTGGCAGCGCCCGGCAGAACAGCTCAGACAAAACCCCCAGGTAAATCAGCAGGAAGCAGCAGGATGTCTCTGTGTGAGCACTAAAGCACATAGTATGACTTCAGTCTCTTATTTCATCAAGTCAGCACTGATTTTAACAAGTCATGAAAATGAACTTTTATAAACATAAAAAGTATGGTATTTTTTAAGTTTCCTGTTTATTGAGCCAGCTCCATTAGTCAGCTGATAAAAGTGAATGCTGCAGGGGTTGTGGTGTACAGCCCAGAGCTAAAGAGCTCCTAGCCCACTCAAGGTCCTACATGTGATCTCTAACACCAAATGATGACGACGACAATGATGATGATCTAGTAGTAATAACCACGGTGCAACTATGGGTTGGCAGAATTGTCATACTATGTGTAGATTATGTGTTAGCACTACTTTAGGAACATCATTGGCTCTTTCCTGTTCCTTGTTACTCCCGTCCCCTCTGGTGGTATCAAAGCTATCAAAGTGACCAGTAACCAGAGAGAACGTTGTGTTCCGCAGCATTTGAAGTAGGCTTTGCCTTGTTTCTAAAGTCTCTTCAAAAGTCGACTGTCCTCAGACTTTATTCTGTCCAAAAGGTTGGCAGACCTGGTTCAGTTGACCCTGTTAAAGGGAGGCAGTGTTATATCTCACTCTTTACAAGAAAGCCTTCTAAGTACAGTAACATCTTAACTTCTCTTAATAAATTAACTGCTAAATATTGTGCCATCTGCCATCACAGATTTTCCGTTAGGACTTAAGGTACTGAGATGTGAGCACAAGTATCAAAGATGCTAATGTGCCTAATCTGTAACCCTGAAATCCACAAAGCTAAAATACCAGCCTTTTTAGTCATTGTACTGAGTCCATGTAGAACTGCTGTGATTACAGCTTAGTTTTTACTTTCCTCCCATCCTAAATGTTCATTTGTTTCCCCAGAGAAACTCTAGTGTGCTTCATCACAGTACTGGTCCTGACCTCTGTATGCAGTGTGCATACTGTAGTCTCTCTCAGAAACAGTCTGCATCCCACTGCAAGGCTCAGAGGATGCTTGATGGGCACACAGTCTCACTGAATGTTGATGTTGTCGAGCAGACAAACAAGGCAGCAACAATGTTCTGTTCCAGAGTCAGTCTGACTTTCTTTTCTGTTTAAAAAATCTAGGTCTAAAAGTCGTTTTGGTCAAGGGCGTCCTGCATAAAGCACCCTAAAATATAAAAAGAGAGAAGGACACTCCTGGACAACTGAGATTGTTCATTTCCTGAAGATCTTCAGAACAATGACTTCTAGGTGTTTTACTAGTTATCCCTGCAGACCACAGAATCATGCTGAGACAAATATATAGTTAGGCTTCATTAAAATATAATTGTAAATATAAATTTCTCTTTGTATAGTTGTGGGCTGTGTAGAAAATAACTACAAACTTTACATCGTTGAGATTCCTAATATTTGTTACCCTTTGTTTATTTGAAAGAGAAGAGGTCTAAATTGTCAAATGACTGAGCTTTGTAAGACCTTAAGAAATTTAGGGTATGATTGGTAGCGTTACTGTGCATGTATGCTCATCACCATACGTTTTGAGAACTGTCCAGTCTTAGGTGTAGCATTGAAAAATGAATGTTTTACGGTGAAATGTCCAGTGATGCTAATTTAAGTTGGTGTCTGGAGGCTGTATTAATAGAGTTTCAAGGTGAGGTTATTCCAGTATCATGTTGGCCTAGAAGAATTCATCTTGTCACGTTCTTATTTGGAAAGTACAGTGTTAATCTACCTTTTGTTCCTTTCAGTTTTTCATGCTTCTCTGTTGGTCATCTGACCCTGAATGACTGGTCACTAGTGTCTCCTCTGTGAAGCTAGTGACATTCTGAATTTCCTAAAACAGCCTGTGATGGTTTAGAGTAGAATCTTTCAGCTCTGTGCAGTCACTTGTTTGGTTTTCCAACCCATCCACTCTCTAAACCATTTCCACCACCCCTTAAAAATTATGATTGCTAGTTACTTTAGAGGTGTCTTACAATTTCCAGATAGATTAGATAGTTGGAAATTTCATACATTCAAAAAAAATAAAACAACTATTTTATAAATCAGGTTTTTATTTTTTCTAACCAGGTCTATAGCATACCCAGGGAAATGTAAGCATGCACTAAATTATGTGTTTGGTTATTTATAAGTCTCTGAAAACCATAAGATGCACATGATTTCTATTTTAGTTTTCCTTTGCCTTGTGGTTCACATCTTCAGATTATTCAGAGAACAGGACCTGATAATATGTAGCAGAACAGCAGTTTCAAAAGAAAAGTTCAAGTCTTACACTCAATTGACACAAAAGAATTACAATCTTAGTGTATCTTTTACTTGCTATATGGAACTCAATTATTTGATAATTATGTTTTTAATATCTGGAAATTTTGTCTTTATATATGCTTTTCAGTTGATTTGATACTGTGGAAATAGCCTATACCATATTTATTTTTTTAAAAAGTGTTTCTTAGTACATGATGTGTGAGTCTCACACCTCGGTTGCCTCCTGTTGTGGTCATTGTAATCAGAAGGAAACCTGCTCTTTGGATTTTTACTGAATAAAGTGCGCACATCGCTTCTCCCCTGAGGGGACTGAGCTACTGATGGATGCTAACAAACCAGACTTTATTACAATCTGACTCTGTATAAAATGTGTTTTGTTGTTTTGTGTCTGTCTGTGATGCATGGACAGGCATTCCTTCTGCCAAGTACTTTAAGGATTTCCTTATATTAAATCTGCGTTTACACTTCTTTAATTGAAATAAATGGCAATGTCAAAAACTGTGGGGAAAGTCCCTCAATCTGGCTCATTCTGATGATAAGTCTGGAGTTCTCTGCATTCTGCATATATCTCTGGAAAATTGGCTGTGTTGTCAGGTGAAATTCTGAGGTTTTACATTTGAGTGTGGGGCACAGCCCATCACTCTGGAAACTTAAATTTCCCACATTCAAGACCCTATCTCGGGACATTTAGCAAAACATTTAAGGGTTGAAATACGACAGAGGGTCTGGGCATATGGCTTAACAGTAGAACACCTACCTGGGGTGCACAGGAATATCTAGGCTTGATCCCCACTAACAGGAATGTGTGGAAACAGCGCACGAAGACGATCTGGCCGCTGTATCAAGTGCACAATTTCTTTTTTTTTTTAAGTGCACAATTTCTCCATTGCATGTTACTTTTCTCTAGAATGTTGAGTCAGGAATTGTGAGGTATATAATTGTTTTGGGATCTGAGGCTGAAACTGTCATATTTTTGCTAATGGCAAATGTAAATAAACATTAAAAAGCCTTTTGTTTCCAATAATTCTTCAGCTAACCTTCAGCTGTCATTGAGTAACTGTTAGGCATCTCCCAGGCCAGAGGCACTGGGTTATCTAACCAGTCCAGTTCTAATGGGTTATCTCATCCAAGCTCCGTAAAAACTGGTCTACAGAGGAAGCTGATCCTAAGGCAATGTTCCAAAGTTATTGGGAGTGAGTAAATTAATAGGTGTAAGTAATTAATACAGTAATTTCTGGGTTATAGCAATCTCTCCATAAATACCATCTATTGCTGCATTGACATTAATTGTTTGAAAGGTGAAAAGTTATTGAATATATAATTTGGATTTCTAAGGTGCATGCGTGCATACGTGAGTGCATGTGCTTAGGAAGAGTCCTTGCTTAGCCATTTTGTCAGAACTGCCCCTAGCTCACCTGCTAAGTTAGTTTGGCCAGGATGCCCCTCCCACACCGCCCACTCTCTGATCACCATCCACGGATGATGAGGGTCCCACACCGCCCACTCTCTGATCACCATCCGTGGGGGATGAGGGTCCCACACCGCCCACTGTAGGCCAACAGAGCTCTGCTGAAACCTCTGAAATGAGCTTAAGTTGAAAATCGAGTGGCATTTTAATAAGCTGCAGCCATGATCACTTGATGTCTCAACAACATTCGGAACACAGATGTGTGAGTAATAAGTAGGCACTGTAGCATTTTAAAGGGAGGTGCCATAAGGTTACAGGCGTCTCCCGATCTCACCAAAGTGATTATTTTTGGAGCCTCTGTCTCCCTTCTGGGTGGATGGGTTACAGGTACACACAACCATATTCAGACGTGTGTGGGTGCTGGGATCTGAACGCAGGTCTTTGAGATTGCTAAGCAAGCACTCTTGCCCACTCAGCCATCACGCTAGCCCACCAAACTGAGTCTCGTGCAGTCCTTCTTTGTTGTGTTTGTTTTTTGAGACAGGGTTTCTCTCTGTAACAGCCCTAGCTGCCCTTGAGGTAGCTCCGTAGACCAGGGTGGTCTCAAACTTACAGAGATCTGCCTGCCTCTGCCTCCCAAGTGCTGGGATTAAAGGTGTATACCACCCCACCACCCCGCACATGCAATCATTTTTAACTTATATTTCATCCACCTTTTTCTACTTTTTCTGCATAAGGATAATATTTAGAGGTGAATCAGTAGGTGCTTGGCAGCCGGGGTTCAATCCTCAGAATCTGTGTAGAAAAACAATGTATAATGTCTTGTGTTTGTAATCTCAGCCGCTGGGAGGCAGATCCCTGGGACTGGATAGCCAGTCAGCCTAGCCTTCTGTTGAGAGACTTTGTCTTGAAAAACAAGGTGGAAGGAGCCTAGATTTCACACATCTGAACACATGTATGCTGCCACACATCTGTGCAACACACACACACAGTACACTCATATTTAAAATAGTAGTACAGAGAGAAAATGGATGAGCAGGGTTTCAGGTGATGTTGCTCGACCAGGTGCGTAAGATGAATGTGGGAAAGGAAAGATCAAAATGGGAAAGCCGCTGAAAACACGGCTAAGCAGTTCCACACGCAGCAAGTACATGCATGCATTCGCAAACGTAATGGTAGTAACGCTGCTGAAAGACCAAGTCTTGAGAAGGATAATGCATCACTCACACGGACCCCGCTAAGGTCCACTCAGCAGAAGCCATGCAGGGCAAAGGCAGTGCCTGAAGACGATCCTGTCAGCCACAGACCCACTCAGCACATTGTCTTTCAAAAGACAAAAGAATTTGGGCACATGTGTGCGGAGTGTGTGTGCGTGTCTATGTGTGTGTGGAGTGTGTGTACGTGTCTGTGTGTGTGTGGAGTGTGTGTACATGTCTGTGTGTGTGTGGAGTGTGCGTGCATGTCTGTGTGAGTGTGTATGTGTCTGTGTGTGTGTGGGAGTGTGTGTGCGGAGTGTGTGTGCATGTCTGTGTGTGCGGAGTATGTGTGCGGAGTGTGTGTGCATGTCTGTGTATGTGCGGAGTGTGCGTGCGTGTCTGTGTGTGCAGAGTGTGTGTGCATGTGTGTGTGCGTGTGTGTGTGTGAGTACGTGTCTGTGTGTGAGTGTGTGTACGTGTCTGTGTGTGCATGAATGTGTGCGGAGTGTGTGTGTGTGGAGTGTGTGTGCGTGAGTGTGTGTGCATGTCTGTGTGTGCGCGGAGTGTGTGTGCCTGTCTGTATGTGCAGAGTGTGTGTGCATGTCTGTGTGTGTGCATGTCTGTGTGTGTGTATGTGTGTGTGCGTGTGTGTGAGTGTGTGTACATGTCTGTGTGTGTGCGTGTGTGTGAGTGTGTATGTGTCTGTGGGGGGGGAGTGTGTGTGCGGGGAGTGTGTGTGCGGAGTGTGCGTGCGTGTCTGTGTGTGTGCGGAGTGTGTGTGCATGTGTGTGCGTGTGTGAGTGTGTGTACGTGTCTGTGTGTGCATGAATGTGTGCAGAGTGTGTGTGTGGAGTGTGTGTGCATGAGTGTGTGTGCGTGTCTGTATGTGCAGAGTGTGCGTGTCTATGTGTGTGAGTGTGTGTGCATGTGTGTACGTGTCTGTGTGTGCGGAGTGTGCGTGCGTGTCTGTGTGTGTGGGTGTCTGTGTATGTGCATATCTGTGTGTGAGGAGTGTGCGTGCGTGTCTGTGTGTGGGGGTGTCTGTGTATGTGCATATCTGTGTGTGAGGAGTGTGCGTGCGTGTCTGTGTGTGTACGTGAGTGTGTGTGTGTGTGTGTGTGTCTGTGTGCCAGTGCACATAGGCAGCATCATTGTGCACAGGATAGTGCCATCTACCTCTTTATGGGTAAGCAGGCCCACAGATGGCGACTCGGATAAGGCAATGACACACAAATAATCTTGTGGGCATACTTGGTGACACTTTAATCACCATCAGTAGATGGAGCACTTATGGCCTGACACAGTGAACACTCAGAAAAACCACTGTCATCAGACTATAGAAAGATCTGGCCTCACTTGGATCATGCTGTTCACCCACCTAGAGGGTGGTGCTTGTGCTCAAATTCTACCTGACACCTCCCCGTTCTCTAAATCGTTCTGCACCCAGGACACTCACACAGGCTAGCCAGGCTGACAGGCCCCAGCTTTGAAAGGTCACAAGTGACTCTTGTGCACGTGGATTAAGGAGTGCACCGGTGTTTGACATGATGTTTAAATGACAGCATGAATGTCCACCACAAATGTGCTGAGGAGCATAAAGGAATCAGGACGTCATGGACTCCAGTGCCAGAGACTCACCGTGAGGGGCTGTGGACTAAGTTGTGTGTATACTCACTTTTCAGGGTTAGCTTTGCGGAAGTGTGCACGCGTGACCTGTCTGTAGAAGCAAGCAGAATACTGTGGAAAGAGCTCATGAGAGAAAAATTGCTAAAATAGAGAAGTCGAGAAGGAAGAGAGAAATGGAATAAGGAAGGCTACTTACAAGATTACTTTTAAATTTTATGCCCTTCAAAAGCCAAAATTGCCCATTATGAGATCTGTGGATTTGCATATCTACAGGGTCTATCAGTAGAGTCTTTAAGTCCTGGAAAAATAAAGGATAAAAATGCTTAAATGGCCCAAATGAATTAAGATAAGTCATAGCAGACAGATCGGTGCAAACACTACAACATCAAATAGTCCTCCTTTCTCCTTTCTGCAAATACTTTTATTTACTTAGCAAAACCACAACCTCTAATGTAGAAAATTAAGTTCCAGATTACCTAGCCTGCCACACTCTGCACACTGACCCGTGTGGCTGCCTGGCCTGCCGTCCTCATTCTTCCCACCAAGCTGGGCGACACCAGAAGAGGGAACCCAGGGCAGAGGTGCAGTGTCCATAGATGCTCTTCCGAGATGGGCGGAGGTCGTTACAGAGGACACAGCATCCTGGTACAGACTTCTTAGAAATAAAGCACCGCACACACCCATCCGCTCACACCATCCTCTTTGCCAGAAGCAAACATTCCACTGAACTGTGCCAGCGTGTGCCATGTCTCTATATGTGCATCCACACCATAATAGTGTGTGCAGACTTCACGTAACACCTCGTGCTGTTCATGCGCATCCTTACATAGATCCTAAATTATACCTTTTAGAGTAATATATTTTGATCCGGGTATGTGAAACTTACACAGCTACCCTGCAGTATTCTAGTTCATGAGTCTCCTCAATGCACTCATCTGTTTCCTGTCCGTCAATGTTGATACTGTGTTTAGAGTTCGTTTTGATTTTTATTCTTTTAGGCAGTCTTATTATGTGGCTGGCCCCGGCTGGCCTCAGGCTGCTGCCACACCAGACTGGCTTCTAACCCATGCTCCTCCTGTCCCAGCCTCTGGAGTGCCGGGATTACAGATGTGTCCCACATACCTTGCTCCAGTTTTTACCCTCTTAACATTCCAGTAAAAGCCTCGGAACATTCTTCCGTGCATGTATCAGCTGCTGGGCACGGCACGTTTCCCTCAGGACTGTTCCAGCATGGGCCCGGGCCAGCAGCACGGGACCCCAGTCCCCCC